AACACAGCCCAGAATAACTAAGGAGATAGTACAAGAATACTTGGCTAGTTTAGATGTATTCAAGTCTCCAGGGCCAGATGAACTGCATCCAAGAGTATTAAAAGAACTGGCAGATGTGATCTCAGAACCACTGGCAGTCATCTTTGAGAATTCCTGGAGAACAGGCGAAGTCCCGGCAGACTGGAGGAGGGCAAATGTTGTCCCTATTTTCAAAAAGGGGAAAAGAGAGGACCCAAATAATTATCGCCCAGTCAGTCTGACATCAATACCAGGGAAGATTCTGGAGCAGATCATTAAGCAAACAGTCTGTGAGCACCTAGAAAGGAATGCTGTGATCACCAATAGTCAGCATGGATTTCTGAAAAATAAGTCATGTCAGACTAACCTGATCTCGTTTTTGACAGAATTACAAGCCTGGTAGATGAAGGGAACGCAGTGGATGTAGCCTACCTTGATTTCAGCAAGGCATTTGACAAGGTGCCTCATGATATTCTTGTAAAGAAGCTGGTAAAATGCGGTCTTGACTATGCTACCACTCAGTGGATTTGTAACTGGCTGACTGACCAAACCCAAAGGGTGCTCATCAATGGTTCCTCTTCATCCTGGAGAAGAGTGACTAGTGGGGTGCCACAGGGTTCTGTCTTGGGCCCGGTCTTATTCAACATCTTTATCAACGACTTGGATGATGGACTCAAGGGCATCCTGATCAAATTTGCAGATGACACTAAACTGGGAGGGGTGGCTAACACCCCAGAGGACAGGATCACACTTCAAAACGACCTTGACAGATTAGAGAACTGGGCCAAAACAAACAAGATGAATTTTAACAGGGAGAAATGTAAAGTATTGCACTTGGGCAAAAAAATGAGAGGCACAAATACAAGATGGGTGACAACTGGCTTGAGAGCAGTACATGTGAAAAGGATCTAGGAGTCTTGGTTGACCACAAACTTGACATGAGCCAACAGTGTGACACGGCAGCTAAAAAGCCAATGCAATTCTGGGCTGCATCAATAGGAGTATAGCATCTAGATCAAGGGAAGTAATAGTGCCACTGTATTCTGCTCTGGTCAGACCTCACCTGGAGTACTGTGTCCAGTTCTGGGCACCACAGTTCAAGAAGGACACTGACAAACTGGAACGTGTCCAGAGGAGGGCAACCAAAATGGTCAAAGGCCTGGAAACGATGCCTTATGAGGAACGGCTAAGGGAGCTGGGCATGTTTAGCCTGGAGAAGAGGAGGTTAAGGGGTGATATGATAGCCATGTTCCAATATATAAAAGGATGTCACATAGAGGAGGGAGAAAGGTTGTTTTCTGCTGCTCCAGAGAAGCGGACACGGAGCAATGGATCCAAACTACAAGCAAGAAGATTCCACCTAAACATTAGGAAGAACTTCCTGACAGTAAGAGCTGTTCGACAGTGGAATTTGCTGCCAAGGAGTGTGGTGGAGTCTCCTTCTTTGGAGGTCTTTAAGCAGAGGCTTGACAACCATATGTCAGGAGTGCTCTGATGGTGTTTCCTGCTTGGCAGGGGGTTGGACTCGATGGCCCTTGTGGTCTATTCCAACTCTATGATTCTATGATCCCGCTGCTTTCCCTTGGGAAAAGCCACTCTTTGGAACAATTTGGGTTTTCCCCAGATTGCCATTAGTTCTGAATTACTGCTAAAGAGTGGTTTTCCCCTTGGAAAGGAGTGGGAGAAGGGAAAAACTGCTTCAACCATGCCTAGAAAGCGTGTGTGAAGTGGAAGTGTGGATGAGCCCATACTTATGGTTAACTCCAGAACTACAGTTCCCAGGGTTGGTTCCTTGTGGAGACATAATCGGTCTGTTCCTGGAGTGTGTAGATTATATTCCAATAGCTCCTATGACTTCCAAGCCCCTTTAAGCATTTCTTAGCCAACATATGGCCACATCCAGCAGCACTTAGGATCAGTTTCTTTGATAAAGGAGGTCTACACATAGGTAAGCTGCCAGTAGGGATTTAAGGCAACAAAGAGCAGACTTAAAAACAATGCCCTTTCCATACTTGGAATTTCAACAGAATATTTTTGTTTAACTGTCATATTCATGTATAGGAAACCCGTTTGAGACCGTCACAATTATGAATGCAGCTGTTGCCAATATTATAGTGGCCATACTACTAGGCAAGCGATTTGATTATGAAGATCCCACCTACATAAGACTTCTGAAGTTGGTCAATGAAAATACCCGGCTTCTTGGAAACTTCTCAGTCATGGTAATCTATTTTTTCCAATTAAAACAAACAAACAAACAGTTGGTTGTAATAACAGTGTATGCAGTGTGGGCAGGGCAACCTGTTTATTGTATACTGTTCAGGATTCACTATAAAACACAGAATCTTGGTATCTTGAGAAACTTGGTGGTGATTTGAAATATTTAGAAAACTCAAACAGATGGCACAGTTATCCCATAACTATAACGAAGTCTTTTTGGCCTCATTGCCATTGGGACTCCAAGTACAAGGAAGAACCAGTGATAGCTGGTTCCATGAAAGCTCAGAAGGGGCCCCCGAGGGCAGATCTCCTTCCCTGAAGATGAACCTCCAGAGGAGAATCACAATAGCCTATTATCCTGGGGTTGCACATAAATTATGCTATCCTGAGGTACCCTACCCCCCCATTCCAAACGCCATTTCAGAGCCTCCAGGAGACACTGCTGACTGCTATGGGGCAATTTGACTTACACCACCCTTTTAGCCAAAGTAGCTTTAAGAAGTCTTTAAGGTGTAATTACTAAACATTAAATCAACCTGAATACATTATTGTTTTGTATTATATATGGGCAACCACGCTTTGAGACACCCATCTGAGTGTACAGTACTGGGCTTTCCTAATGTTTTCTTTTTCTTTTTTCACATTTTATCCTTTCAGCTGTATAACATGTTTCCTGCTCTTGGTTTTCTTTTGGGGGCTCCTAAGACTGTCCTTCGCAACAGAGATGAGCTGTTTGCCTTCATAAATGCCACCTTCATAAAACACCTCCGAGATTTGGATGAAAATGACCAAAGGAGCTTTATTGATTCTTTTCTTATTCGACAGCAAGAGGTAACAGAGCATTTTAAATTTGCCCAGGAGAAATTTTCAATTCATGCTTTAAGTGTATGTTTGCAAGTGGTTGCATAAGGAGTAGTCAGTAAGCCTCACTTCAGAAGCACACTTTCTGCCATTTCTAACTATTCCACCATCATTAATGTGTTACAGAAACAGTCTCTGCAGGGCCAAAGGTTGCATGCTTGTCAGCATTTCTGAAAATCTACCTTAATCTACCTTAATCAAATGGCATCTGTTGTGCAATTGTTAGTCAGTTGTTTCTTGCTATCACATTCCTTTTTGTAGACACAGCAGAGGCTGAAGAGGAGATTGCATAGCCAAGGCTGCCAATTATGCTAGGTTTTGTGCTAATAGTACAAAGGGGGAATAGTGGCTAGTTTGTCCTGCTAGAAATTCATTGCGTTCTGAGGATGGCCACATTTAGACAGGCAGGAATAGCCATTTGGGGGGGTAGGAATGGATTTGCTCTTTGCATTTCTCCTCCTTCCACTTAACCTCCACAGTTCTGACTTCTCCCTTTTCTTTCTTCCTCTGCTCTCTCCCCTCTGGTTCCTGGCAGGACAGGCAGCTATTATCCGTGCTGCTGTTCCTGGTGCTATTGAAATACAGGGAACTCACAACATAGGCACATTTAACTTGCCTTATGCACTTGGCATTTTTTTTACAAAATCAAAAAAGCAGTGGGCATCCAACAAAAAAGTCTTGGCAATCCTACTCGCCATTGAACCCAATGTGCTCTGACTATAAACAATTTTGGCTTTACGGGCTTTACCTGGAACGTAACTCTTGTGTAAGTTGAGAGTCACCTGTATACACTTACTGATTCACACTTGTGTGCATATGAAGGGTTAACCTCAGCTCAAGTTACCTGAGTGTGTGTGGCTCTCAGCAGACTCTGTTCCCCAGTCTGTTGCTCTTCGTGCTTCCTGGAACAAGCAGTGAAGGAGCCAGGCAGCTTCTGGTTCCCTGCAAGAGAACTAACTCTCTTCAAATGGGAGATTTTATAGCCTGCACTTTTGCTAATCCAAAGATTGCATGATCCTTTTTGTAAGGAAACCAAGTCCTTTTCTTTTTAATCCGCTTAGAACCTTCTTTCATCTTTGTCTTACTGCCAGCAGACAGAGACTTGTTTGATGTAACTGCAGGAAACTCTGAGTAAAATACTCACTTATTTGCAAAGTTAAGTTCTGTGATTTATTCCAGCCTAAGTATTTTCATGGTTTGTGCTTGTTTAAAGCTGAATGAAGGCAGATACAAATCTAACCTGGTGCCTGGAACAGTAACCACTGTGCTCAACTCTGCTCCTGGAGATTAGGAATCTCTCTTTGTATAAGGTTTCATGAGCCATTGTGTCAGATGCAATAACACATTCACACACACATACTCTACACAGAAACTCTGCTCTGAGATTCCTTTTTGAGGACAAATGGTGGGTTAAATTTCTCTTTTCCACTGCAAAAGCCAGGCATACATTCACTTCTACAACCAGTAACAAGAAGGACGCAAAGCTTGTCCCTACTATACTGTGACCTCCATCACAAGTTGGCTGGGGCTGGTGGGAGCTGTGATCTGCAACGTCTAGAGGGCCCCATGTTGCTCACCTCAGTTTAAAGAAGGTTAACCAAATATAGTTCCAGACTGACATGTGCTATTTCTGTGTCATGCTTTCCTTTTGGACTATGTGTAAATTCACCAAAGATGTTAGCTGAAAATAGCACTTTATGCAAAATGGCCACTAACCAAGTGTTCACCAGAAATGCTGCCTTTCATGTATGCATTCATATTAAGTCTGCATGATGCCTGAGTATGTTCTAAATCATGGGGTCTTGCACCCAGTAAGGGTTAACCAGTGCTTTTTTCCCTGGGGATTTTATAGGGTATGCAGTTCCAGAATCTTCTTCTTTTTTTCTAGAAGAAAAGCACTGGTTAATTCTAATGGAGGAATCTATTGTTGAACCAGTCAGACAAGTTTATTTGTAAGATGAGGACCACACACTTGCCACCTACATAATGCCATTATTTCCTTAGTCTAAACCAAGGCTGTGGGCTGAGCAGTTAAGTGCCACGATTAGCATCAGAGAAGAAGGAACTGGATTGCCAAGCTACAACCACCTCTTCACTTAGTTGGTAAACAGAGAACAATAGGGAGAGAGCTGAGTCAGACCCATTCTTGGTGTTTGCTTGACTCCAAAGCTGTGACTAATGGATGAGCAAGACACTTTGGGGTGTTGAGCCCCTCTGTCTTATGCTTGGATTGTATATATGTGTAAATAAATCCTATATCATCATGTTGGCGTGGTCTGGAAAACCTGGAATCTCTCACTGCTCAGCGATTGGGGTTATGTGCAGTGATACTTTGGATCATCGGGTCTAGTCAGGTATTCATTTTTATCTCTGCACATGAAATTTTCTCACTCCATTTGTTTTAACTCTTTGCAACCCAGGAGGAGAAGAAGAACAAAACGAATGGATATTTCCACAACGAAAACTTAAAAGCTGTTGTGGCCAATTTATTTGCTGCTGGCACAGAGACCACTGCTATCACACTGCGCTGGGGACTGTTATTAATGATGAAATATCCTGAAGTTCAGAGTGAGTGCTTTTCATTGGGTTGGCTCCCATTATTATGAGATATCTTAATTTCAATTTTATGTAACTATTAGAGCAAGAGCTCAAAGAAAACTTGGGGCAGATTTGGATGTTACCTGAAACAGCAGCAGGAGGGGATGAGTACATTGCCCTTCCTGTCATAGTGAAGATTGGTGTGAATTAATTAATCAACCAAGGGGCGGGATTGTGTAAGGTGATTATGAATATGAAAACACTGGAAACGCATATTGTAGAGCCCTGCTTGGTCAGGAATCTCCATGGAAGTGGCCACCTTATGAGAGCTACAGCCATTTTCCCACCTGATATTTAAATAGCAATCCTGGATGCATTTGTCTCCATCAGTATATCAGGCATTGGCTTAAATCAGTGGTTCCCAATTAGCCAATTACTGAGGACTTTTCAAAAGCCAAGCCACAGAACCCCTACTTTTGAAAATTTTGATAACTCTATGGCAGTTACCTGTGCAAGTCATTTTAAAAAATGTGGGGCAGCCTCTAATAAGAAAAGGATTTTAGGTATACTAAATAGACCATAAAATTTGTGATATTTCCACACAAAATGACAAAGATTTAGTTGGGGGAGAGACAAATTTAATTTTATTAACATATAGTACAAGTGAACAAATTATGACATGCCAACAGCTACTAAACCTTAATAATAATAATAATAATAATAATAATAATAATAATAATAATTTACTTGTTGATTTATTTACATGCCACCCATCTGACTGAGTTGCCCCAGCCACTCTGGGCAGCTCCCAACAGAATGTTAAAAACACACTAAACCTAAATGTGATGGGAGAAATCATGCCTCTTTTCGTCTAAAACAATCCCTTCCACATCTGGTTCAATATTTCCTACTTTTATTCTCAAATATGGTTCAACATCAAGCCGATTTCTATGCTTGTTCTTCATATAACAAAATGTTGAAAATGTTTGTTCACAAAGCTATGCGGACCCAAAGAGAACTAGATTTTTCAGAGTTTTTTCACCCAACTTCTTATAATCAGCAAAAACCTTCACCCAGAATTGGTCCAGTCTACATACTTTGTAAATTACTTCAGTGAACCACCACAAGTTACATCAGCAAGTGCATCTTGCTGTTCCACAAATAGCGCTGTTAGTTGTACATCACCACATTCAAAAGGATTCCTTATCCATGAGTTTTCAGGATTTGGTACAGGAAAGTAATCCCAGAAGATAGTCGCTAAATTATGCAGGTGCTCAGTGATGTAATGTTTTACTTCTGTTATCAATTCTTCTTCAATGGCCTCCAGAAATGTCTCCTCTGTTGGGATGTTAGTGAGGCTACAACCTTCTACTCGGTTTCCCCAAATTTTTGAATAACTGCCTCAATCTTATCTTCAGTGTAAAAAATATTCACATCACTGCCTTGAAGGCTTATGTTGAGAATGTATGTGAAAACGTCTATCATACACAACCATGCAAAGTTGTTTAACTGATCACATGGAAATTTTGAATCTGTCAAAATTTTAAATCAGAGAGTGAGCTGTTGTGCTAATCATTGTGGCAATTTGCTTAGCAATTTCCCCTGTTGGACTTCCAAGATGACAAATGAATCCCAAACACATAAGGCAAGATTCACTGAAAACCCTACCTACAAGTAGTGGAAGAGTTCTATAAACCTGAGAGTCGCTGAAAGCAATTAGAAGTTCTTTTCAGTTAAAAAGGGAAGCAAAGGGAAGGGATCTCTTACTCTTTTTTTTTTAAAAAGGACAAGCACATAAGGTAAAAGGTAAAGGACCCCTGGAAGGTTAAGTCCAGTCAAAGATGATTATGGGGTTGCGGCGCTCATCTCACTTTCATGCCGAGGGAGCCAACGTTTGTCCACAGACAGCTTTCCGGGTTATGTGGCCAGCATGACTAAACCTCTTCTGACACAACGGAACACCGTGATGGAAACCAGAGCACATGGAAATGCTGTTTACCTTCCCACTGCAGCAGTACCTATTTATCTACTTTCACTGGTGTGCTTTCGAACTGCTAGGTTGGCAGAAACTGGGACAAAGCAATGGGAGTTCACCCTGTCGCCGGGATTCAAACTGCAGACCTTCCGATCAGCAAGCCCAAGAGGCTCAGTGGTGTGGACCATAGCGCCACCCACGTCCCATGTAAACCCACCCCGTGGAGCAAGCTGTTCTCTCTCCCTCTCCCTCTCCCTATTCCCCACTCCAATCGCAAGAGCCCTAAGAAATTGTGTCAGAGGTTTTTGCTCAATCCCAGGTCACTTCCCACCCAGGAACTCTTTCACAAGTTTTTCCCCTGCTGCTCCTGAGCAGAGGCTGGATGATGCCTGAAAGGCTTTCACTGTGCAATTAACAAAATATGTGAGTCCCCCAGCAGGTGATGGTGCTGCAGACCCACAGCAGTCCCTGAACCCCTCACTGAGAACCACTGCCTTAAATGTTTGTCTTGCTTAAAAATACCTGTGTATAATTCTAGAGATTAAATTTGTGGGCCCACGGAATTGGAGAACCAGTTTATGCCAGTTCTATGCTGGAGAGATTAATATTTTGAGAGACAAAAGCCAAAGTCAAAGAGATAATCTTAGCAGAAAAATGAATGCTTTTCCGTTTTTTGTTTCCCCCAGTAAAGGTCCAAGAAGAAATTGCAAAGGTTGTTGGATCTTCTCAGCCAAGGATTGAACACCGAACAAAAATGCCTTATACGGATGCCGTGGTCCATGAGATCCAGAGATTTGCCGATATCGTCCCAACCAACCTGCCACATGCCACGACTACAGATGTTACCCTCAAAGGCTACTTCATTCCAAAGGTGATCCTTTTCACTGAACTGCTGCCCACTAGTTACAATATATTTTAAGGCTTTTCTGGGAGTAAGCCCCTTGGACTTCAGTGTAGGTGACATCTGTGCAGACGAGTATAGTATTGCATTGTAAGCATGCAATCTACCCTTTGGAAGCTGTCAGGCATCAGCTTCAACACATTAAACAGATCTCAGTGGAAAGGAGCACAAGGTTGGAAAAGAAACCATTTCTGGTGGAAGATCATGACTTATATGTTAAAGTTTTTCAAACGAAAGACATTTCTCAAATGATCTCAAATCTCATTTCTCCTGCACTGAATATTAATTGTACCGGCGGCATATGCTTTATATTAAAATGACTCTCGCTTTGCCTTTGCAGGGGACTCACATCATACCATTGCTGTCCTCTGTGCTGCATGATGAATCTCAATGGGAGAAACCACATAAATTCTATCCTGAGCATTTTCTTAATTCTGATGGAAAATTCGTAAAGAGAGATGCTTTCACGCCTTTCTCTGCAGGTAATTTTTTTCTTTTTTACTTTTGTGTATACCTGTATAGTTTGTGCTTAATCAATGGGATCTTTACATGCCTGGAATGTAGAATACTGTGCAAAGGTAAGGATCACATCAGTTGCTATGGCCATTTCTGCCACCAGATCTGGCCACCATGAATCTTGCTCACCCGGGAATGTTGCCCTCTAGCTGAAAAAGGTTTCCCACCCCTGGTTTTCAGGACTACAGGGAGGGATAGTATTGGGAGTACGTAATTCTTTTAAGATGGGCACCGTTAGCTGTTACTTTATCACTGCATTTTAGTATGCTTTAAAGTATTTGGGATATTTTCTTCTTATGATCAACTATTTGGAGCAATGACACATTGCTCCAAATAGTTGATCATAATACTAAGCAACCAATAAACCTGGTTTCTCTGCCCCCTGTGATTTGTTACAGGTCGGAGAGCATGTGTAGGTGAGACTCTTGCCAAAATGGAGCTCTTCCTCTTCTTCACAAGTCTCCTGCAGAGATTCACCTTCCAGCCACCCCCTGGAACATCCCAAGAAGACCTGGACCTTACTCCTGTTGTTGGGCTTACAACACCTCCCATACCCCACCAGCTCTGTGCTCTGCCACATTTCTAAGACTCACAAGCTCCTGGGTTGCTTAGCCTACCTGTGTGTGCAATGCGAGTCTTTTTTAAACACCCCTGTTCAACAAGGGTATTTGGGTTGAGTAGCCTATGGGTGGAATTGGTCCGTGCTTTGTCACAAACCTTAAGTGTTCCCCTTTACCTGCCATGCTGATGAATCGCATAAAGCTAGTGTTGAAACACTAGACCTGAATTATTATGACATTGGGGCTGGGGCACCAACTCTATGGGGCTGAGGTGTCTTAGCCTCTCTCTCCCCCCCCCCCATATCTGTTGGAAGGGGCCATGCCCCCTCAATGTTGAGAGGGCGAGGGAGGCTATCCACGGAGCTGAGCGCAGTGCAGAACAGTGCAGCTCCACTGACTGGCTCCTCCTGAGTGCAGGAGGGGAGGAACCACCGGCCATTGAAGCCAAGCCATTGTGGACTCCATGCTTGGTCTCCCCTGACGATGGGATGTTATGCACTCATGATGTCACATCTTGGGTGCAAGTTGGTGCCTCTGCTTTGGGCATAGAGATCAACCAATGAAACTGGTTTCTTGTAGTCACATGTTAACAAATGCCTTCAAATATCTTGAAGCATCATATTCCCAGTTAAATGTCCACATATGAGCTAGTGATAATGGTTTTGCTTGGGAAATACAACTGTACAAGCTGCAGAGACCCCAAAATGGTTTTTTATACAAGCAAATTATCTGTGAAGCACCCTCATGCGGAGAGAGTTGCCTCTTCAAATCTAGGGTTTGCACTCCCCTACCAATTTCTGTCAGTGAGGAATCCAGGTCTGCCTACACCTGAAGCAGCGTCCTCAAGTGTAGCATGTTGTTCTTTGCCTTGAAGGGCAGACACAAACATTCACTCTAATTTGAGAAAGTAGCAATCTTCACGTTACATTCAACAAGTTTACAATCTGTGTACGCAAGTAGCTAAGTTGTACACTCATGCAATCATTCACAGTTATTCACTTTAAGAAGGCTGATTTCAAAAAGCTTAAGGAACTACTGGGTGAGATCCCATGGCCAGAAATACTTAATAAGAAGGGAATCCACCTTTCTTAAATGTGAAATATTGAAGGCCCAAATGCAGGCAATTCCAGCAGGAAAGAAAAGTGGGAGGCATCTAAATAAACTAGTGTGGTTGCATGAGGAGTTCACAGATGAGCTGAGATTTAAGAAGGACATGTATAAGAAATGAAAAAAGGGGAAAACCACAAAGGAGGAATATACACGAGTAGCCAACATTTGCATGGAGAAGGTCAGGTGGGCCAAAACTCAGAATGAACTCAGACTTCAAGAGAGGTTTTTTCAGCTATGTTTGAAGTAAGAAGAACAAGCAAATAATAGGTCCTCTGCATGGAGAAAATGGGGAAATGCTAGGGTAACAGAGAGAAGCTGAAACTGCTCAACAACTACGGTACTATGCCTGGGTCTTCACCCAAAATGAAAGCAGTGCCAGACCTGGTGATAACAGAATGAACAGTGCAAAGAGGGAGCTGCAGTCCAAGATAGGAAAAGAGGTGGTAAGGGAACACCTAGCTACTTTAAATCAAATCTCTGGGGCATGTTGAGCTGCACTCAAGGATACTAAGGGAGCTTACAGATGTCTCAGAGCCTCTGTCTATAATCTTTGAGAATTCCTGGAGAACAGGTTAGGTCCCTGCAGTCTGGAGGATTGTTGTTTCCATCTTTAAAAGTGGGTAGTTACCCAGGTAACTACCGACCAGTCAGTTCGATGTTGATACCAGGAAACATAGAAGCAAACTCCTAGGGGCCAAGGTCCCTTTGGCCCTGCCAATAAAATATTTCAAGGGGCTGCCCCCCCCAGGTGATGGGCATTCCCATTCAAATGGTGTGTGTGTGTGCCGTGTCATGTCATGTGATTGATTATGTGGGGTAGCAAACTTTCAGTTCATCGTGTAATTTAAAATTTGCTCATTCCAGCTTCTCAACAAGAGCTTTAATTTGAATAGTTCCCTCATTCAAGCTCAAAGCGCATGCTTGCTTGTAACTCCAACGGCTTTCTGTAAACTGCCAATCATCTGAATGGCTGTGTCACAATTGTTGGTGCGAATTAGCTTGGGAGTCTGAAAGAATATCCACAGTAATACACTGTTAATCCACAGTAATCCATAGTAATCCTGCGGTTCCCATCTGCTTATTAAGGCTGCATCATTTCTATGTTTCTCTTGTTTGATGCAAGAAATGACCCTCTCATTCTAAGAATGACATCCAATCTTCACTTCCATTGGATAAAGTTACTCTCTGTGCATCTAAGCAGTATGAGAAGCAATGAGATTGTGGATATCCATCATAAAAGAGAGAGAAAACCCAAAGGAATTTAAAAATATGTCAGGAACAATGCAGAAAATAAGAGATTGTTCTCAAAACTCTATAATGTGGGGGGGGGACACCTCAGAATAATAAAAGAACAAAAAACAAAAATACAACATGGAGTCTCATGGCTGAGTGAAACCATGGGGAAGGGCAATCTTTCTCTGTTTTTAAAGTCAGGTGTAATGAGTATGGGTTGCTCGTGCGTAAGTTGCCGCCTCTCCTGGCTATGTTGCCTTGTTTAAACCTTTCTGTCTGGACAGCCCTTCACTTCGTGGCTGCCTCAGTCGCTAGCAGAATCCGTCAGTGGGCGTTTCTTAAACCTTTTCCAACATAAAAGTTGTTTGACGCCAAGTCTCCTCCTACTCTCCCTGCGCGGAAGCCTTCTGTGCAGGGAGGGCGTGGGTAGCGGAGGACCCGTGCTCTCCCCGCTGGTGTCCGGTGAAGAGTCCTGGAGCCCTCTCGCCGATTCCCCCATCTGCCCCCCTTTATCTCTGGTGTTGCGCTGATTTGCTTCCCCATCTGCTGAGCTGCCTCTCTCCCTGCTGGGCCCTTCTCCAGCATCATTTGAGAGCCTCCCCTCCGCCTCTAGCTCCGATGTCAGTTCCCTGACATCAGGTTTTAAAAAATCATTTTAAATGCCGAAATGTCTATTAAAGCATTCCCCACTGGACTCTTAACAAATATATTCTTCCCTGGACCCACTAGAATTCCTGGGTACCAAGATCTGAGTTTGCGGCAAGTACTCTTTGATGAGAGAACTCCAGCAGACATTTAAAATTACAAAATATGCATCAAAGTAAAGTGTGAAAATATAGGCCGTTGGACCTTTAAAATATATCCTTGTGAATTCCAAAACTTTCTTCTTCCCTCTGCATAAGAAAAGAACACAAGTTTGATAAGTTAAAAACTGGTTTACTTACAAAGGTCAGGTTCATGTGCTTTTCCATACATCAGTCAGAAAAGACACAGGCAGTAAAACCTGGCTAAGATTCAAAGTGGTGAACATTTTTGGGGGGCCACTAGGGGGTGCATCAGAAGATGGCTGACAATAACATCTCTCCGACCCACACAAGGTAATTTGGAGGCTATGATGGGAGTAATTAGCCTCCCTAACCCCCCCAGGACGGTGGGGGGGACTGCCCTTGCCTGCTGTGCCCTATACCACCCCCGAAATTGTGGGGATGGGGGCACTAGGCACAAAGCCCTCCTGTGGGATTCCGGCACTCCTGGACGCCGTCCCTGATTCGCGCCACTAGCTGCAAGAAAACAATTTGGATGAAGGAATGCACATATTTCAAGGAAGGAGGGGGAGTAAAGACTGCTATAGAAGAGATCTCTGATAAAACAAGAGAAGATACGCCAAGACACGGTATGGCAAATGACTGATGGGGGAGGGGGAAAAAAACTTTCTTTTCTTATGTGATTAACAAGAATCCCCTCCCCTCACGAGTCACGAGTCAGAAATGTCGTTTTAAGGACTTAAGCTGTGGATTTAAGGCTGTGTGGAGATAAACTTTTGAACCAAAGCATGTTTTAAGAAGAGTGAGGAATGTATAAGAGGGAATGACGCAGTTAAAAATGCCGTCGCCATATTGGGAAGTTCTGTCGGAGGTCTTGAGTCTGGGAGGAGAAAGAGAGAAATAGAGATGTTTATATATTGTGGGTAAACTCCTCAGAGGGACTTAAGAGCGACAGTTTTGCGAGATGGAAAGAGCGAGGTTATCTATGAAAGCGATGATATATGGAAACCATCTCAATTTGAGGAATGGAAGAACGGAAAATTCACACAGGATTATTATTATTATTGGTGTTTATCGGCTTAAGGAGACTATCAGAAGAGATCATAAAGAAAAAAGAGAAAATATATAAACAAGATCTGATGTGGAAACAGCAAGATAAGACTGGATAGAATTATGAACTCTGTTTGGACTGATTTGGACTGATTTGGACATTAACGCAGTAGCAAGAAGATGATCAGAATCCCCCTTCGGATCTTGAAATATGGGTCCCCCCAACAAAATTTAAAATTCGGCTTTGTAATTCGGAATTTATGTGATGTGATTTAATTTGATTTGATTGGCCAGTTAATAAAAATTATTTTTTTTTAAAAAAAAGTGGTGAACGTTTTTAAATTATTGGTATAGGAACTCAAGAATGGCTTGTGAGTAACCAGCTCCGACTTCTTTTACATACTGAGCTTCTCAGGCAGACTGAGGTACAACAACAGGCTTCGATATCTTCCAAGGTGTGGGGAAGTGACCTAAATAAACCTGGCAGGACAGCTTACTCTGTGGCTTTAACCCATTCATGCATTAGCATGCTGATTGTATGAGGCTGGTTATCTCACACAGATAAGTCCTAAGACACAAAATAAGCCAGTACCTGCTCTAATACTGTAGTAGCCACCTATCAACACCTGAGCCTCCTGCCACCAGGTGCTTAAAATGGATGTAATCTGTTCTGGGACCTTATGAGTCAAGAGCAACTGTAAATGAAATACATCATCATCAGCTAAACCACAATGTTGCATAAGCCAAGAGAAAGTATATAACACAAGTTTGTTTATGAAGCAAATAGTTCCAGAGATGACTTGACAGAAGAGGGCCACGCTACATAGTGCAGAAAATTGCACACACACACACACACACAAAATATTTGTGCAGTATTTCCCAGGGAACATCTCCCTATTTTACTGTCACGAGTATATTAATTAACTAAACTAGTTACACACAAATGCTGAATAGCAGAATATTTGTAAAGAAGAAGTTCAAGAGGTTCTGAAACAATTTCAAAAATATCTCACTAGTTCAATAATTACACAAGAGGATTTCTTAACGGTTGTTTGGGTCCCTTCCAACTCTCCAGTTCTGTGATTCTATAATGTTGTTCTAAAACTGAACATTGGACTTCCCGAGAATTCAAAAGAGGTTGAACCGGCTGAACGATGTTTTCATTTCCAGAAGAAAACACCCCTGCTCAAGTAAGTATAAAGGGAAAGCTAAATCATGAAGCTTAGATTGCAATAAAGTCGGAGGGCGGGGGAGAGTGGAAGGCAATTCATTGAATGAAATGATTCACTAGAGACAGTTCCTAGTATTTGCTGCTCATTTCAGCCAGCGGACATTGTCCTTGATCAAACTATGTTGTGGCTTTCACAGTAATCGCTTCAGAAATTTGCTCGCTGAAAAGAAATGGATTGGACTGAACAGATTCCAACATTGTTCCTGCTCATCCTTACAATTATATTCATTTGGAAATGGGGCAGTTTCTGGAGTAGGAGCTCCAAAAATCTCCCACCAGGTCCGACACCTTTACCACTTGTTGGGAATCTCCACATGATGGATCTGAAGAGACCTTACAGAACAATGTTAAAGGTAACATTTTCTGTTCTTTCTGCAGCAAGGCAAAGATTCTGTGGATCTTTTTAGGCCAGGTAGATGTCAGTGTTCCATCTCATATATGCAGATATGCAAAAATGATAAAACTATGTCAAGTATGGCTTATTCTTTTTTTTTCTTCCTTTTTGTGTGTGACTGCTGCTATGGTTTAGGCTGATAGCTGATCTGTGCAGTGGAGGGACTGGGTGACTGGAGGAGGGGAATAGGAATGTCACAACCAGCCTGGGATATGGGTGACGCTGTGGTCTAAACCACAGAGCCTAGGGCTTGCTGATTAGAAGATCAGCAGTTCACATCCCCGCAACAGGGTGAGCTCCCGTTGCTCAGTCCCTGCTCCTGCCAACCTAGCAGTTCGAAAGCACATTAAAGTGCAAGTAGATAAATAGGTACCGTTCCGGCGGTAAGGTAAACGGCATTTCCATGCGCTGCTCTGGTTCGCCAGAAGCGGCTTAGTCATGCTGGCCATATGACCCGGAAAACTGTCTGCAGACAAACGCCAGCTCCCTTGGCCTGAAAGCACGATGAGCACCGCAACCCCAGAGTCGTCCATAACTGGACTTAACAGTCAGGGATCCCTTTACCTTCACCTTAACCAGCCTTATCCGCAAAAATTAGCTGCAAAATTATCGAACTTTTCAGTGTGAAGCCAGCACTTCTAAATACATCATTTTAGAATCCACTCAAGTTTTCACAATTATCTTACGTGAAACAAAACAAAGCAATTATATTGCTGAATGTGGGCTTTTAAGTGCGCCCATGTCTGAAATTATGTTCTTATTGAAAATGTTCATCTCTTCGCAACACCCACAGTTCCCAGGATTCTTTAGGCAGGTGTAAAAAATTTTATTAGATTAAATCTAGGTCTCCAGGGTAATTTTAGCTAAAGGCAATATTGGAAAGCACTGGCGTTCCTCGGGTGAAACTTAGGAGCCTAATTCTGAGCAGCCAGAACTGATAGCTCAGTTGATCAAGCAGGGGACTCTTAATCACAGGGTCGTGGGTTCGATCCCACGTTGGGCAAAAAGATTCTTACATTTCAGGGGGTTGGACTAGATGATTCTTGTGGTCCCTTCCAGTTCTACAATTCTATGATTCTAACTTTCAATTTGTTAAGGAAGGAAAATTCACATCAGTTTTCAACTTTATTTGCTCACAATTATCTCCAAATATGCCTGTTGTCTTTGTCCATGGAGTTTTCCTGGCAGGGATACTGGGGTGGCTTGCCGGTTCCTGCTCCAGGTGGATCACGTTTGGTCAAAACTCTCCACTATAACCTGTCCATCTTGGGTGGCCCTGCACGGTACAGCTCACAGTTATTCAAGCCCCTTTGCCACTGCAAGGCAGTGATCCATGAAGTTGAGGCTCCAACTTTGGCCACCTCATGAGAAGAGAAGACTCCCTGGAAAAGACCTTGATGTTGGGAAAGATGGAGGGCACAAGGAGAAAAGGACGACAGAGGATGAGATGGTTGGACAGTGATCTCGAAGCTACCAGCATGAGTTTGACCAAACTGCGGGAGGCAGTGGAAGACAGGAGTGCCTGGCGTGCTCTGGTCCAGGGGGTCACGAAAAGTCGGACATGACTAATCGACTAAACAACAACAACATCTCCAAATAAAATAGAAGAGCTGCAGAATTTGCCGTCTTACTGCACTTTCTTCTTAATAATTTGAAGTTACTCCTCTTGCTAAAGGCACCCATGTGATAGACAATGCTTAGACATTTTAAGTTGATGAATTATACCATGCAATCATGTAAATTAAATCAGTTTTTATTTCAGATCTGAGAGAGTATCTATGTATGTTTAGGGGGATTTATTTGATGTTTCTCTCTTTTGGTCATTGAACTCCAGTTGTCAAAAGAACATGGCCCCATCTTCCGCATCCAAATGGGATTCCAGAAAATGGTGGTGCTGACAGGGTATGAGACAGTCAAGGAGGCTCTGGTGAATCAGGCGGACGCATTTGCAGAGAGACCCACCATCCCAATGTTTGAGGAGTTTACAAGGGGCTTTGGTGAGGCCTTTCCTTCTGTATAATAGCTTGTGCTGTTTGTGAAATTTAGTTATCATAGCAATATAGAATCTGTGCCAAAAGGTTCATAGAACTGATTGTTAGTTTCAATTATAACTTGGAGGACAGCCTGCCACTCGACCAGTGTAGCTGCAGCCATTGGATGGATAATGCCAAATGTCTTTGTCACTGCCAGCAAAAGAGTAGGGTTGAGGGAATAGGAGAATCTGGTCATAAAATAATGTACCGTTACAACTGAAGGGCCGTAAACTAGAGAACCCCCTGTGCAATTGTGTTTTGAGGGTACAACCCATAGGAATATTGCTGAAGTTCTGGAGAATGTGTGTCTTATCAGAGACCGGAAGAGGGACCAACTGAGAGGCATCCTCAGTTCCACAGAAGAAGGGTGAGATAAGCCAAAACATATTATTGTGGCCATGATAACTTGAAACTTGATCTCTGCTCTTCAGGTGTTCTTTTTTCACATGGTGAAAACTGGAAAGTGATGCGGCGGTTCTCACTAAGCACATTACGGGACTATGGCATGGGGAAAAGGTCCATAGAGGACAGAATCGTGGAAGAATGCAGTGTCCTGATTAAGACATTTGAATCTTACCAAGGTGGGTTAGTGTTTCCCTCTACAGCTCCAGGGCAAAACAACACTACATTAGATGCCCAGAATCATGTGTTATATACATATTGCTAACTCTCAGAACTATAGTAACCAAGATTCCCTGTGAAGAAGTTACCAATCTGCAGTGTTCAGGTCAGTGTGAGGTAATGCTGGCCTCTGTCCCTCTTTCCTGTCCTCCCTCCTACGATCCCCTCTCGCATCTCTGCCTCCCAAAGGCTTGCACAGCTGTTTTTTGCAGCAGCCCTGGCTTCAAGCTCCCAAGGAGAGGGGAAAGGAGAGGTGGCTGAGGGAACACTTCATGAGGGAGGGTGTTTGAAAAAGGGTGAGAGACCACTGGCTCTGCAGGCAAGGGGTGACATACCGGTAACTGGCTCCTGAGGCTTGGAGTGCATTTGCCCCCCAGGAAAACCACAGAAAGAATGTAGCTGGTCAAGGGAGTCATGGACTCAAAAAGGATGAAGACCTCTGGTTAGATATATACTGCCCATGACTCTTTTTAGCGTTTCTTAACTCAGATATCTTCAAGTACACCAGAATGTAGGATCAGTTTCTAAGATAAATGTGCTCTATACATCGGTAGGCTGACACTGGGAACCTAAGGCAGAGAAGAGCAATTCTACTTGGTATTTTATCTGAGCATTGCTTAATATTTATGTATAGGACAACCATTTGAAACCAGCACAATTATGAATGCCGCTGTTGCCAATATCATAGTGTCCATCCTACTAAACAAGCGATTTGAATACGAAGACTCCACATTTAGAAAACTTCTGAAGTTGGTCAATGAAAATGTCCGGCTTTTTGGAAGCCCCTCTGTCATGGTAATCTAAGCTTTCTCGAATGGAAAAGAAATAGTTGGTTGTATTCACAGAATACTCAATGTGGGTGCAATTCCATATTGTTCGGGCTTCACTACAAAACACATCTTGAGAAATATGAGTTGCGTAAGATCCCAGGACAGCATTTCCTTCCAAAGGTCCTCACTCAGTTGTCTTTGTGCAGCTTTTAGGAGGGGAGAGGTATTGCATATTTGCAAGGAAAAGTATTAGTAGAAAGGAATTGCAATCTTCAGGTATTAAGGAAAGCAGAGAAATTAATACTCACCTTTCAAAGTAAAGGTATATTGGCCAAATAATACAAATAATTATTCGGTTTAGATCAATCATCCTTCAGTTTTGAGCAGAAGTGACAAAGAGACATTAATTCTCCAGTTACTAAAGATGAATGGAAGTGGTTATAATTTTGAAAGAGACAATTGTTGGAAATTCAAAAATATAGGAGCAGCTATTTTACACATATATTTTGGACTTGTTGTAAGATTAAAAGCTTTTGGTTATATATTAAATTCTTGGTACCAATATGATTTTAATACCCAAATACATTTGATTTGGAAAGGCATAGCAAGCAAGGGAGATTTTGGACATTGCAACTGTTATAACCACTACAGCAAGACTAGTCAAAGCTAAATATATGTATAAATGTATAAAACACATGGGATGCAGCATTGTTAACACAACTGAAAAGTTTTAAAAGGGATATTGAAAGAAGGACCCCAAATAAATTTATTTTTAAAAAGCAAATATAAAATTTCAAGACAATATTCACACCAATTATTATTTTCATTCATATAATTGGATATTCTGCTTAAAATATAATAGTTAGATAACTCAAACATAACTGACGTTTTGTATATTGTATGCATGATCTCATGAAATTATATATAGTTGAAATATTTTATTTCTTTTGTAATTTCATCTTTTTAAAAAATAAAGGTGGTTTTTTAATATACACGACCCCATATCTATCTGTTGGGGACTCCACTTCTACATCCTTCTATTGGGAGAATGCCTGTCTATTCCTATGCCCCACTTCCTGACCCACTAGAGGACCTCTCCTCCTTATTCCAACGCCTGCTTTTCTTAACCAGGAGTCTTTGTTGTGCAAGCTTTTTTGAAAGTCTAAGTCGGGTGTGGGGAACCTTTGACCCTGGCTAATGCACAGGGATAATACAAGCAACGTTGGGGTAGAGCTAAAAATGCCCCACCGCCAGCCCAAGACAGATGCTGACATGAGCCGAGGTGAAGCAATTTGCCTCAGGTGGCAGATCCAACCGCTTCCCTGTCCCTGCTGTTGCACCATTGCCAGCCACATCTCAGTTTTGCCCATGCCACCATGGCTGCTGCCACAGTGCCCTGTTTTGTGGCAGCACTGTGAGTGACACCATGGGCCTGTGGGGGGACAGTGCCAGGGGGGGAATTTTGCTGCCCCTGGCCACTTCTGGTTGACCTCTGTCTAGGGGCTTGTCCACATCTCAGCAAACTGCTAATACAGAAGTACAAGGGGGCTCCATAACTACAACAGCACGTAAGAAAATGGCCTCCAGCCTTGGCCTCTAAGGGATATTTATTCAACGTTGCTCCAACCCAAGTACATTTTTGTTCTGTGTCATTGTTTATTCCTCTGTGGAAGATGAGATATTTGGAGTATCACCTGAGAATTAAGCACTGGGCTTTACTCTTCGTTGTATTTTATCCTTACAGCTTTATAACGTATTTCCTGCTCTTGGTTCGCTTTTGGGAGCCCGTAAGACTATCCTTCAGAACAGAGATGAGATGCATGCCTTCATAAATGCCACCTTCATACAACACCTCAGAGATCTGGATAAAAATGACCAAAGGAGCTTGATTGATTCATTCCTTCTGAGACAGCAAGAGGTAATGGAGTCTTTTAAGCCCACCAATAATTTTTTTTATACTTTCAAATGTTGAAATTTTCACGTTTTAAAAATACATTTCCATGTGAGCTGGTGTCTAATATACAGTGGTACCTCGGGTTAAGTACTTAATTCGTTCCGGAGGTCCGTTCTTAACCTGAAACTGTTCTTAACCTAAAGCACCACTTTAGCTAATGGGGCCTCCTGCTGCTGCTGCTGCTGCTGCTGCGCCACCACTGCACGATTTCTGTTCTCATCCTGAAGCAAAGTTCTTAACCTGAAGCACTATTTTTGGGTTAGCGGAGTCTGTAACCCGAAGCATATGTAACCTGAAGTGTATGTAACCCGAGGTACCACTGTACTCTGCACATTTTATTTTATTTTTCCTCTATAAAGCTTTGGCTAATATCTGGAGTCTGTGACCTGATTGCTTGCAGGGCTGTTTTCCAGTGGGACTCCCACTCCTCTCAAGAGAAAAAGAAAAAAAACAACCTTTGAGATACGGTAGCTCAGTTGGTTGGAACACGTTGCTGCGTACGCCAAGGTTGCAGATTTGATCCCTGTAAGGGACAGCTGCAGTCCTACACTGCTGATGTTTGGAATAGATGATCCTCAGGTCTTTCCAACTCTATGATTCCATGATTCCATGACTAGTCCAACACGTCATGCTCCCCCCCCCGTATTTCTTTTGCACCATGCTCCTTTCTTCAGCCTGTGACATGCTTTCTTTCTTTCTTTTAAAATATTTTTATTAATTTTAATGTACAAAATTGTTTAAAGACATACCACACAAATTCTTACATACATATTCTTATTTGGACTTCCTTCAACACCTCCGTCCTAATCACTTCTCCTGCAATTCTTGACTTAATATTGCCTTTACCTTTCTTAACAAATCATCTCCCCCTTTCCATTTTTACAATATTTCTTAAATTACTCCTCACAGAACTGCTTGTAAACCTACAAACGTAATTTGATCATCACAAATATTTTTTCAAATACTCCATAAATTTAGTCCAGTCTTCGGTGAACCTCTGGTCCTGCCGGTTTCAGATCCTTCCTGTTAGCTTGTCTAATTCTGTGTAGTCCATTAGTTTCATCCTCCATTCTTCTAACGTTGGTAGTTCTTCTTGTTTCCATTTTTGGGCCAGTAATATTCTTGCTGCTGTTACCGCATATAAAAAACGCTTACAGTCTTTTCTATTTATATCATTTCCAACAATACCCAAAATAAATGCTTCTGGCTTCTTTATAAAAGTATATTTCATCATTTTTTCAACTCGTTATATATCATCTCCCAAAAGCATTTCACTTTTTTACATTCCCACCACATATGGTAAAATGATCCTTCTTTTTCTTTACATTTCCAACATTTATTACTCACTTTATACATTTTTGCTAACTTAACTGGTGTGATATACCATTTATACACCATCTTCATCACATTTTCTTTTAATGCATTACATGTGGTAAATCTCAAACCTTCTTTCCACAGTTTTATCCAATCACTTAACTGTATGTTATATCCAAAATCTTTTGCCCAATGAATCATAACTGATTTTACCTCCTCATCTTTCAAGTGCCATTCAAGCAGTAATTCATACATTTTAGACAAAATTTTAAAATCATTATTCAACATTTCTTGTTGAAACTTCGATTCTTTTCCAGAGAAACCTTTTTCTTTAACATCCTGTTTAAATATTTCATTCACCTGGTAATAATGTAACCAATTGTTAACATACTTTCACCTCCTCGTATGGTTTCAATTTCCATTTTCCTCCTTCTCTAATTATTAGTTTGCCATATGTTATCCACTTCCCACTCATATTGACCTTTTTTACACACATCACTTCTAATGGAGACAACCAATGTGGTATTTTTGGTTCCAGAAGGCTTTTATACTTATCCCAAATTTCTATAAGAGATCTTCAAAATATGTGGTTTCCAAATCCTTTATGGACTGTTTTCTTATCATACCATAAATATGTATGCCATCCAAATCTATTATCATAACCTTCTAAGTCCAGCAATTCTGTATTTTCCAATTTCATCCATTCCTTCAACCAACAGAGGCACAATGCTTCATAATATAATTTCAAGTCCGGCAGGGCAAAGCCTCATCTTTCCTTAGCATCTGTTAGTAACTTAAATTGTATTCTCGGCTTTTTGCCCTGTCAGATATATCTTGAAATAATCTTCTGCCACTCTTTAAATATTGCTGCCCCTTTTATTATTGGAATTGTCTGAAACAAGAACAACATCTTTGGTAGCACATTCATCTTTATCGCTGAAATCCTTCCCCAAAATGATAATTTCAACCTTCCCCATACCTCTAGAGCTCTTTTGACACTATTCCACATTGGTGTATAATTATTTTGATACAGATCAATATTTTTGGGAGTTAACCAAATTCCTAAATATTTAACTTTCTTTACCACTTCTATACCTATCTGTTGCTGCAACGTTTCAACCAATTCCTCTTCCATATTTTTAGCAATCATCTTAGTTTTCCTTTTGTTTAATTTAAAACCTGCCACTTGACCGAACTGTTCTATCTCCTCTATTACTTCCTTAATAGTTATTGATGGATTTTCAATTGTTAATACCAAGTCATCAGCAAAGGCTTTTACCTTATATTCATTTCGACTAACTATAACACCCTTTATTAACTCATTTCTCCTTATAGATCTTAAAAGAACTTCCAGTACCAATATGAATAATAATGGTGAAAGAGGACACCCTTGTCTTGTATCTTTAGTAATTGCAATGTTTTCTGTTATTTTGCTCAGTATATATAGCTTTTAATCCATTTAGGAAGAATTGACCCATGTCCATAGATTCCAAATTTTTTAACATAAATTCCCAAGATATATTATCAAAGGCCTTTTCAGCATCCACAAAAATTAACATTGCTTGTTTTTCATTCCTGGCTGTCAGATATTCAGTTATATTGACTATATTTCTTATGTTATCTTTCATCTGTCTGCCAGGAAGAAAACCTGCCTGATCTTTATGTATAATTTCTTTCAATATTTTTTTCATCCTGTTAGCTAATATACTTGCAAATAATTTATAATCTTTATTCAACAACGAAATTGGCCAATAATTCTTTACTTGCGTTAAATCTGAGTCCTGCTTCGGAATAAATGTAATATATGCTTCTTTCCATGTTTCTGGTAATTCTCCTTCTTTAATATATTATTCATAACTTCTTTCATTGGTACAAGTAGGGTGTGTTTCATTTCTTTATAATATCTTGCAGTAAATCCATCCGGTCCTGGTGTCTTCCCACTTTTCAATTCTTTTATAGCTTCTTTAATTTCCTCTACATCAATTGGGTCGTTCAGACTGTCTTTTTTATCAGTCAGGATTTTCTGCACCTCCTTTTTCCTCAGGAATTCTTCTATTTTTTTAATGTCACTTTTCTCAGTTCTTTTATATAAATGTCTGTAAAAGTCCACAAATCCTTTCCTAATTTCCTTCGGATTATCTATTTCTTTTCCATCTACAATAATTTTATTAATTGTATTCTGTTCCTTTCTTTTCTTAATTTGCCATGCCAGCCATTTTCCAGACTTATTTGCAAAAAATTTCTGTCTCATTCTTTTGATATTCCATTCTACTTCTTTATTTATTATCATTGCAAATTGAGTTTGTAATATTTTAATATTTTGCTTTATTTTCAAATCATTTGCTTTTTTAATTAAATTCTTCTCATTTTCCATTTTTTGTTTTAAAATTTCTTTTCTCCCTTTTCTCTAGTTTTCTTTTATCGTATTCTGCTGAATAAAAAACCTTGCACCACAGCTTTGCTGGCATCCCATACTATACTAGTTTTCGTACCCTTATTACAGTTATTCACAAAGTAGTCTGTTAAGTTCTTACGTGCCTTTTCTATTATTTTCTGATCATCTAAAAGACTCTCATTTATTCTCCATCGAAAGGATTTTTCTTCTATTCCTTTAATAACATACTTTATTGCATTGTGATCCGAAAGTACCTTTGGTTGTATTTCAATTTTTAAAATTCATGGTGTTAATTCACTAGAAATCCAAACCTGGTCGATTCTTGACATTGACTGATTTGCTTCTGAGTGGTAAGTAAATTGCTTTTCTAATGGGTGTCTTAATCTCCAAATATCTATCAAATTACAGTTCTCAATCATAGAAAAGAAAGTCTTGCGTAATTTCCCTTCTTTAACATTCCCACTTGCTCTTAATCTGTCCATTTCCATTGACACCACTCCATTCATATCTCCCATTATTATGATTTTCTGATCCATAAATTCAAATAACTTTTCCTCCAAATCTTTGTAGAAATCAGTTTTATTTCCATTAGGTGCATAGACCCTGACTATTATAAATTTTTCGCCTTGCCATTTGACTTGAACTGCAATAACCCTACCTTCCTCATCTTTGAAAATCTGCTGAGCTTCTAATTTATTTTTTATATACAACACCACCCCTCTCTTCTTGCTTCTGTCTGATGAAATAAATTCATTACCTAGTTTTTTATTAATTAATACTTTTTTGTGTCTTCTCGCCACATGAGTCTCTTGCAAACAAATGATGTCCAAATTCTTCTTCTTCAAATAATATTCAATTTTATTGTGTTTTTTCTTATCGTTCATCCCATTAACATTCCAAGTCCATAATTTCAACGCCATCTTGTGTTCTTTTTATAAACCAAATAAATTAAAGTCTTAAGCCTGTTCTTCTTCTTCTTCTTCCTTTTCCTCTTCTTCTTCTTTTTCTTCTTCCTCTTCCTCTTCTTCTTCTTCCCTTTCTCCTTGTTCTTCTTTGTGGTCCTTCTCCCCTCTTTCCGGTCCCGCTGGGCCCCCTGCTCCCGCTCCAGCTTCGACTGCTTCCTCTCCCTTCCCAGTTCCTTGTATCTTCTCAGAAACTTCTGTGTTTCATCTGGATTTGTGAGTTTAAATTTCTTCCCTTTGTGAAAAAAGGAAATCCCTTCTGGGAATTCCCATTTAAATTCAATTTGATTTCTCCTCAAGGTCTGTGTCGGTGGTTTGTTAGGGTCCCGTTTTTCAATAATCGAAGTGGAATGTCCTTAAAGATGATTATAAAATTCCCATCAATACTCAATCTTTTTTCTCTATTTTTCTGTAATATCAAATTCTTCATTTCTCTGTCTTTAAAAATAATTAAACAGTCACCTGGAAACTTCTTTGCTTTAACAGATCTTGCCTTAATTCGAAATGCATTTTGAATGGTTTTCCTAACATCTTCTACTTCCATGCCTAACCACTGAGCAATTTCTGATGCCAGTTTCTCCCTTATATTCTCCCCTTGTACCTCAGGTACCAACCTCAATCTCAAATTCGCCTCTCTTTGCCTCAAGTCATTCATAGCAATCGTGTCCCATATTCCTTCTTGTGTTTAATTAATTTCTGAAACTTCAGCTCTCATCCTTTCCTCTTCCCTCTTTACCTCTCTCATCTCCAATTTTGTTCTTTTCATTCATTCCCTCCTCCAAACTTTGTGTTCTCTTTGTTACATCCCTCATTTGTCCTTTCAATTCATTAACTGTCAAATCAAGTTTTTTATCCATCTGCTCCAACCTTGTCTCTAAGTTTTTCTCACTTTGTTTAATATCTCTCTTTATCTCTGCAAACATCTTTAATATGTCTCCTTTCAGTTCCATCTCCTGTTTGGATCCCCTTCTTTCCCCAGGTGTCGCACTTTCACTCCCTTTTTTCTGCGTGTGGGACATTCTCTTGTCTTAGTAATTTCCAATTAAAATTATAACATCCAAAGTTTGAAAAAAAAAAATTCTTGCCACTTGCTTGGCTAATCCCCGATCAAGTTTTATAACATTCAAAAATTGGGAGATTAAATTTTCTTGCCACTTGTTTGGCTAATCCAATCAAATTAGTTATGATCCATCATACTGGAGAAGGGGGTGAAACAGAACAATAGATAATAACAGATTAAGAAGTGTGATGGGATGATGAGCTGCTTGTGCGTAAAATCGTATCCCCTCAGAGTTTGTTCAAGTCCACAAACCTCTGTCTGTGACGGAGCCCCTCAGACATGGCTCCTCTAGTCACTAGCAGATTCCGACAGTGGTTGCTTTCGTAATCGCTTCCAACATAAAAGCTCCTTAACGGAAACACGTCTTCTGGACTCTCTGCGTGACAGTTTCCGGCGAGGAGTGGGTGTTCTTACAGGAGGTCCTGAAACCTCCCCACTGTTTTCGCTGGAAGTGTCTCTGAGCCATCCCTCCAGCTCAGCTCCTCTCCCCTGCTGGTTCCCTCTTCAGCTGCTGAGTCTCTCCCAACCTGTGTGAGCCCTTTCACCTCCCTGCTGGTTCCCTCTTCAGCTGCTGAGTCTCTCCCAACCTGTGTGAGCCCTTTCACCTCCCTTCCGTCCGATGGCAGTTCCCTGACATCCACCTCCCCTCCAGGGCCCCCTTCACCCCCTCTCGCCCCCTCCTCTACGGGCGGTGAGGAGGCAAACCCCGGAATGAACTTCCTTCATCTTCCGATGTCTCGAACACTTCTCTCCACCTGTTGCGGTTCCTGGTCTCGAGTACACCTCCTCCTCAGAGTCCATCTCCCCTTCCCTTCCGAGTCCGGGAATCCTTCCAACTCCTCCCCTCATCAGTGGTCCCAAAGTATTCCCTCCGGAACCTCTCCACAGGCTGAGGTTTCCTTGGGAACCTTTGATGGAACGTTTCTATCAATACCTCGTCATTGATATCTTCGGCCATTACCCAAGTGTTTTCTGACTCCGGTTCTCCTTCCCACGCTACCAAATACTCCACCTGATCCCCCTTCCACCTGGCGTCGAGGATTTCTGCCACATGGCTGCTGCATTCTCTTTCTTCTATGACCGGTCCCCGAGTGGCCATCCCTTCTCGTCCCCCCTTCGTACGGTGACAGTAACGACCTGTGAAATACTGGGTGCAGTTTCATGTGGTTGGGTAACCGGAGCCTGAAAGCCACAGGGTTGACCTGTTGAATGACCTCAAAGGGACCCAACCTCCTGGGTCTTAATTTCTTACAACCTCCTTTGAACGGCAACCCTTGGGTTGACAGCCACACCCTATCTCCCACCCTTATGGTTTCACCTTCCCTTCGGTTCTTGTCTGCCTGCCTCTTGTATTCTTCCTTCGCCCTTTCTAAGTTGAGTTGGAGCTGACGATGGATTGCTTCCATTTCTTCCACAAAATGCTCGGCTGCCGGGACGCTCCATCTCTCCCCATCGCCCCCTGGGAAAGCCCTGGGATGACACCCATAATTAGCCAAGAAGGGGCTCATCCCTGTGGACACATTCTCGGCATTGTTGTAGGCAAATTCCGCCAGCGCCAACTTTTCTACCCAGTCATTCTCTCTGTCATTGACATAACACCTCAGGTATTGCTGGAGGACACCGTTTGCTCTTTCCGCCTGCCCGTTGGTTTCAGGGTGCCGGGCAGTCGAATAATTGACCTCCACCTGCAGTAAGCTCATGAGCTTCCTCCAGAACCTGGAAGTAAATTGTTTTCCTCGGTCTGAGACCACCCTCAATGGCACCCCGTGCAACCTAAAAATGTGTTCTACAAATAACTTCGCTGTCTCTTCCGCCGTGACTGCATGCGAGCAAGCTACAAAGTGGCACATCTTTGTTAGTAGGTCTACCACCACCATGATGGCTGTTTTCCCTTTGGACTTCGGCAGATCAGTCATAAAATCTATCGACACTGCTTCCCAAGGTCGTTCTGGGGTTGGTAAGGGTTCTAATAGCCCCGCCGGCGCCCGCCTTTCCCCTTTGGCTCGCTGGCATTGCTCGCACCCTCTTACATACTCACGTACATCTTCCCTCACCTTAGGCCACCAAAATTCCCTGGTGACCAACCACATGGTTTTGTGTTGTCCAAAATGCCCCGCCGTAGGGCTGTCGTGCAACTGCTTGAGTACCCTTCCCCTTAACTCTCCTTCAGGGATATACAGTGCCCCTTTGTAATACAAAGCTCCATTTCTTTCCTCGAAACCCCCTGGTTCCTCTCCCTCACCCCTAAGACCTCTGAGCTTATTCTGGGCGTATTCATCATTCTCTGTTTCCTCTACCAGTTCTCTTTGTCCCACCAATGCCGCCCCACACACCCAGCGGTCCTCTGGAATGACATGTCTCTCTTCGGGTGCTCCCTCCTCCAAATATTCAGGTTTGCGTGAGAGAGCGTCCGCCCTAATGTTCTCTGGGCCTGGCACGTAACAAATCTCAAAGTTAAATTTGGAGAACTCCTGGGCCCATCTCACTTGCCGTTGGTTGAGCACTCGTGCCGTCCTCCAATACTCTAGGTTCTTGTGGTCAGTGCACACTTGCACCTTATGTTGTGCGCCAAATAGCAGGTGCCTCCATCTCCGGAATGCCTCATGAATGGCTAGTAGTTCTCGGTCATACACCGTGTAGTTCCTCTCGGATTTGTTCAGCTTTCGCGAAAAAAAGGCACACGGTCTCCACTCTGACTCCTTCTTCCCTGGCTGCAGAAGCACCGCCCCAATCGCTCTGTCTGATGCGTCAGTTTCCACTCTCAGATGCCAGCCCACCAGCGGATCATGTAACGCTAGCCAGCTCATCCCCAATATAATGGGAGCTCCTCCCAAGGTGGCCACATTAAAAGCTATCAGTTCGGTGTGCCTTGCTACCTTCATTATCATTGGGACGGTCTGCAAGCTGACTTCTCCTCCCAACAGCTCCCTGCCATCGATCGTGGTCACCTGCAGGGGGTTGCTTAAAGGGATCGTCTGTATCTGGTGTTCAGCTGCAAACTCTTTGCTCATGAAATTGCAGGAGCTGTCTGAGTCCAACAGCGCCTTTATCTTTAGAGGGTGTCCGTTTAGCAGCTCTAGCGTCACTTCTATCACTAGGGCGGGTTTAGGAGGTTCTGGCGTGGGCACTCTCACTGCTCTTTGGCCTGGCTGCTGTGCCCGACAGTGGCAGCCAGGCGTTGACTTGCTCCGGTATTTCTTCCTCTCTTCCATCCACAGCTCCTACCATCCCTTGCCATTCCTTCCTCTGGGGGCAGACTCTGGCAAAGTGACCTGGCTGTTGGCAGAGATAGCATTTCCGGGCGCCTTTTCCCTCCTTCTTTCCCCCTCACTGGGCTTTGAAACTGCGCGCGCGCGCTGTTCCGATTTCCATCGGCTCTGCCGGCGGGAAAGTTGGCTCTGGAATGTCTGGAATGCGGAACTCCTTCCAACGTTCCCCTTTCCCTTCCCGCCTCTCCAATGCTCTCGCCTCCTGGCGCGCTCCTATGGTCAGCGCTGATTTGGTCAGCTGGTCCATAGACTCCGCCCTGGGCGCCCGGGAAAGTTCGTCTTTCACAGCCGAAGAAAGCCCTTCTTCAAAGAGCATTTGAATGGGTTCCGCCGATAAGTCCCACCCCAATCTGTGAACAAGCATGGTGAACTCAGTCCAGTACTCACGGACAGATCGGCTCCCCTGTTTGCAAGCCATTAACTGTCTGCGCACCACTCCCTGTTCAATATCGCTGGAAAACATCAGATCCATGGCGCGAAAGAACTTCATCGTGTCCTTTAGGACGTCACTATTCGCTGCCATCAGGGTCTAACCCAGTCTCTCGCCCCTTTTCAAGATGCTCAATCACGAAAGCCACTCGTGATTCCTCGTCAGGAATTCATCAAACTGCAGATTGAGGGCATATTGCATTTCTGTCCGAAAGCCATGATAGTTTTTGGGCTCCCCCCCAAACTTCTGCACCAATCCTGGTACCTTTCTGGCGAGCTGGGTGGCTTTCCCCTTTTGTCTGCATCCTGAGCCCTCCTCTCCTCAAGCCTCGCCGTCTGCATCGCTAGCTGGACCTCCAACACCCGGTACCTTTCTTCCAGGCTTGGACCCGCTCCAGCTCCTGCTTCTCCGGTTCCGGCTGGGTTGCTCATGATACCTTCTCCTGCACAAGCTGCTTTCAAAGACTGTCGGAATGCTGTGATGGGATGATGAGCTGCTTGTGCGTAAAATCGTATCCCCTCAGAGTTTGTTCAAGTCCACAAACCTCTGTCTGTGACGGAGCCCCTCAGACATGGCTCCTCTAGTCACTAGCAGATTCCGACAGTGGTTGCTTTCGTAATCGCTTCCAACATAAAAGCTCCTTAACGGAAACACGTCTTCTGGACTCTCTGCGTGACAGTTTCCGGCGAGGAGTGGGTGTTCTTACAGGAGGTCCTGAAACCTCCCCACTGTTTTCGCTGGAAGTGTCTCTGAGCCATCCCTCCAGCTCAGCTCCTCTCCCCCTGCTGGTTCCCTCTTCAGCTGCTGAGTCTCTCCCAACCTGTGTGAGCCCTTTCACCTCCCTGCTGGTTCCCTCTTCAGCTGCTGAGTCTCTCCCAACCTGTGTGAGCCCTTTCACCTCCCTTCCGTCCGATGGCAGTTCCCTGACAAGAAGGAAGTAAAATAAAGAATAAAAAAGAAAAGTTGAATAATAAAACCGGTTCAGAATACAAAGAAGGAAACAGAAAAAGAAATTAAAAATTAAAATGTAAGATATCTGAGAAGAAATATTCTAATATTCTAATAAAAAATAAAAATAAAGAAAAAGAGAGGAAAAGGAAAACTAAAAGAGGCAAAGCTAGGTATAAAAATCCAAAAGGGGAGATTAAAAGGAGAAACCAAACAAAAAATCATACACCAAACCAACTCAAAGAATGATAAGGAAGGGCAAGACAAAAATTATAACACAGATAGTAGAGAAGAGACAGAACAAAAAAAGAAATAAAAAATAAAAAATAAAGGGGAGAAGTCCCAGTCAATTTTCTTCACCAAAGCAGCTAAGCCCACATCAAAACAAAAACAAAAATAAGAGTGGAGGTCCAACAGAAATCGTCAGAGAGGGAAGGAACGAAAAAAGCTATTTTTATAGATGCAATCTAACGTCTCAAGAAGTATTTGGTGTCTCAAAAAAGAAAGTAAAAAATGGTGATGCTCACTATCCTTCCCACGTCCTCAAAGAAACAGAAGGGACGGGTAGTTGAATAACTTCTTCTCCCCACTCCTTGTTTCCACATAAAAATTAACCAAACTTCATAAAAAGAAACAGCTCAGTCTAGTTTGGCTTCTCACTTCCACATAAGGCTGCTTTGGCACAAAGAGAAATTTTAAAAAGAAATCAATAATAACTAGAGAAGGCTTCCAAACAATTGACAACGCAGTTCATTAAAATCGAAAGTAAAAAAAAATTCTTAGAAGTTTCCTTTACCTCCAGTCCCAGACGTCCACCAAAAAGGCAAATAAAAAGTTATTGTTCAGGGTTTTATCCCTTCCCCGCTTAAATCCACCTTCTTAAATTAAATAAATGTCTCTTTTAAGTTAAAAAATTCCGTTTGAGGTAACTCACTGTTTCATCCGCTCTGTGGGTAATCTTTGCATATAAATAAGATTCCAGACGAGGCTGACCTCCTTCTTAGCACCCCGCTACTTCCAAATCGTTCCAAATTAACATATCCCGATAGATATTGCCAATTAAATTCGGGTTTCTTACTGTTTGAGAATCAATCGCTGCAACGTGCAAGCCTGGGGCTGCGCTTTCGGAGGGTAGAAAATGGTGTCCCGTAGTGCCAGCGTCTCAATCTCGCCGTTCTCTTCACCTCTAAACAGAGGCTACCTGACGGCCAAGGGACCCTGTGACATGCTTTCATGGATAAAAGAGATTTGAGTGTGCTTGCTGTGTATGAATATTCTACTTTCCTAGACCGCTTCTCTGCTCTTTCCATTCCAGTGAGTGCCCTCCCAACCCTTGGCTAGCTACTTTGATATCTGCAAATGGAATTTCCTCATTCACCTTGTTATTGCCAGTTCTTTCTTTTTACACCACAGGAGAAGGACAAGCCAAATGGATATTTCCACAATGAAAACCTAAAAGCCGTTGTGGGTAACTTATTTGCTGCTGGCATGGAGACCACTTCTACCACACTGCGCTGGGGACTGTTACTAATGATGAAATATCCTGAAATTCAGAGTGAGTGCTTTTCATTGGGTTGGCTCCCATTACTCTAGCTAGCCTATCTTGATTCTAGTTATACATAACTACAGTGGTACCTCTGGTTACGTACTTAATTCGTTCCGGAGGTCCGTTCTTAACCTGAAACTGCTCTTAACCTGAAGCACCACTTTAGCTAATGGGGCCTCCTGCTGCCACCACGCCGCCGGAGCACGATTTCTGTTCTCATCCTGAAGCAAAGTTCTTAACCTGAGGTACTATTTCTGGGTTAGCGGAGTCTGTAACCTGAAGTGTCTGTAACCCGAGGTATGACTGTATCTGGGGGCCTGGGAAGCTGGGGGGCTGAGCCCCAGAATATTCAACGAGGGGGGTGGCCCTCCTCAATATTCCACAACCGGGTGGGCCTTGTTGGGCCTAGTTTCACTGTGTGACATGACACATGTCAGCCCCCCCCCAATGTTGGGTGTAGTCAAGCATGCATGTTCCTGACTTTCGCTTCCTACATAACTATAAGCAAATTGTGTATTTTCACTAAAATTCTCAGGTGAATAGCATCTTCCACAACTTTGCATTATGTTGTTAGATTGTGCTCATAGATCAGCCAGCCCCATTGAATAATTAGCTGTCAGTTACTCCAGGAAATCTGAAGATATGAGTTGGTGGCAAACATATGCTTTTGAGTTTGGCATTTGGGGGGTGGGGACAAAAAAACCCCACCAATGAGTTTATTTTAACAACAAAATTCCCCCTCCACTGCCCCCAGATAAGGTCCAAGAAGAAATTACGAAGGTTGTTGGATCTTCTCAACCAAGGATTGAGCACCGAACGAAAATGCCATATGTAGATGCAGTGATCCATGAGCTCCAGAGATTTTCTGACATTGTCCCCACAAATCTGCCACATGCAACCACTGTGGATGTTACCCTCAAAGGCTACTTCATTCCAAAGGTAATCACTTTGATTAAACTGCATTCTTTGCTCAGCTGACTGCAATCATTTCTTCTTTAATTAGGACATTACACTTTAGGCTATGAAGAAGAATAGTTTGGCTTTTGATAAACTGCATTCTTTGCTCAGCTGACTGCGATCGATTTCTCCATTAATTAGGACATTACACTTTAGGCTAACCCTAGGAGCAGGCCCCACTGACCTTCTTGTAAAGTAGGGGGCCATTGCCCCCCTTGGGGCCCCTGTTGGAGCCCCAGTTCCCTAGTCTGGGCATACTTGCTTCTGCCTTCTTTGCTGCATACAGGTCTTTATTGAGTCATCCCAGAAACGTTGGGCAAGGGGCTCAGTCAACTGTTCTCTCAGCCCAATGATGACAGTTTAAGGAGCTAATGGTATATTTGGAAAACTCAGCAGTGGCCAGAGGATTGGAGAAGATCAATCTACATCCCAATCCCAAAGAAGGGCAGTGCCAAAGAATGCTCCAATTACTGCACAATTGCACTCATTTCAAACGCTAGCAAGGTTATGCTTGAAATTCTACAAGGCAGGCTTAAGCAGTATGTGGACCGAGAACTCCCAGAAGTGCAAGCTGGATTTCAAAGGGGCAGAGGAACCAGAGAGCAAATTGCAAACATGCGTTGGATTATGGAGAAAGCTAGAGAGTTCCAGAAAGACATCTACTTCTGCTTCATTGACTATGCAAAAGCCTTTGACTGTGTTGACCACAGCAAACTATGGCAAGTTCTTAAAGAAATGGGAGTGCCTGATCACCTCATCTGTCTCCTGAGAAATCTCTATGTGGGACAAGAAGCTACAGTTAGAACTGGATATGGAACAACTGATTGGTTCAAAATTGGGAAAGGAGTACGGCAAGGCTGTATATTGTCCCCTGCTTATTTAACTTATATGCAGAATTCATCATGCGAAAGGCTGGGCTGGATGAATCCCAAGCCGGAATTAAGATTGCCGGAAGAAATATCAACAACCTCAGATATGCAGATGACACAACCTTGATGGCAGAAAGTGAGGAGGAATTAAAGAACCTTTTAATGAGGGTGAAAGAAGAGAGCGCAAAATATGGTCTGAAGCTCAACATCAAAAAACGAAGATCATGGCAACTGGTCCCAACACCTCCGGGCAAATAGAAGGGAAGAAATGGAGGCAGTGAAAGATTTTTTCTTTCTTGGGCTCCATGATCACTGCAGATGGTGACAGCAGCCGTGAAAATAAAAGACACCTGCTCCTTGGGAGAAAGGCGATGGCAAACCTAGACAGCATCTTAAAAAGCAGAGACATCATCCTGCCAACAAAGGTCCGTAAAGTTAAAGCCATGGTTTTCCCAGTAGTGATGTATGGAAGTGAGAGCTGGACCATAAAGAAGGCTGATCGCCAATGAATTGATGCTTTTGAATTATGGTGCTGGAGGAGACTCTTGAGAGTCCCATGGACTGCAAGAAGATCAAATGCATCCATTCTTAAGGAAATTAGCCCTGAGTGCTCACAGGAATGACAGATCGTAAAGCTGAGGCTCCAGTACTTTGGCCACCTCATGAGAAGAGAAGACTCCTGGAAAAGACCCTGATGTTGGGAAAGATTGAGGGCACAAGGAGAAGGGGACGACAGAGGACGAGATGGTTGAACAGTGTTCTCGAAGCTACAAACATGAGTCTGACCAAACTGCGGGAGGCAGTGGAAGACAGGAGTGCCTGGCGTACTCTGGTCCATGGGGTCACGAAGAGTCAGACACGACTAAACGACTAAACAACAACAACAATGGTATATAATCTCTGGATTATATTACGGATCATTTCTTGCTTTAAAAAAAAAAAGACACTGAGGACTATACCATAATGATTTGCTTGACAGCCGATATCCATTTTTTAAATAACTCTTGCTTTTCCTTCGCAGGGGACTCACATCATGCCACTACTGACCTCCGTGCTGCACGATGAATCTCAGTGGGAAAAACCATACCAATTTTATCCAGAGCACTTTCTTGACTCTGAAGGAAAGTTCATAAAGAGAGATGCATTCATGCCTTTCTCTGCAGGTAACTCAATTTCTGTCTATTTATACATATCCAATGTGAGCTTAATGAACAGGCCATCCTAAGTATATTAACATAAAATAAAACTTGGATGGAGGACCCAGTGACAAACTTTGGAGTACTTATATCTGTCATTTAGAACTGCAATAAGATACCCAACATCATTCATTTTCAGTAGGGCAGCTTCTGGGCCAGTGGCCAAATTGGACTCTTCAAGGCTCTCTAACCACCCTCAGAACTTCCCCCAGGCCTTGGCTTTCAGTGGACCTGCTCTGTGTTCCCCTCGTGGGCTTTTGCCTGGCCGGAATGTGCCATTGATCTATGATAATGCCACCTGCTTGCTATGGTGGAGAATGGATACAGGCTGTTTGGAGGATTAGGGTACAAGAAACTCTCAGACCGTGGGCTGAAAAACATCCGCTCCCCTTGGTTTTCAGCCCTGTAGAATGCTTCTTGCTGGGAGTTCATCTTTGCATACTTGCCAACATTCCTCAGATGAAAATCAGGACATTTTTCATACTCATCCAACTCACCCTCCTCAAAAGACCATTTGTGGTCCCCTGTCCACCTTCAGAAAAAGTCGAGTGCTGCCATTTCTAAACCAACAGGACTCACGACTTGCACCCTCCACTGTCCTGAGAAAACCTCTTAGGCCCAATCTGATTTTATTCTTTTGGTAGATTTACAAAAGGAAAAACACACACCGATAAACACATTTTAGAAAGGGGCAAGATTAGACGTGGCTGCCCCAAGCATTTTTTAATAAATCCAGACTCCTTGTGCTCCGTTCTGCTCCCCTTCCTCCCACCCAGGACTGCTCTGCCCTCTGCCTCCCCTCAGAGCCACTGCATCATCATGCTAGTTCTCGACAGCCACATCCTCTCCTCCAGCAGCCACTACGGAGGGGCAAGTGCTGACTCATACTTTTCCCCAAGCTCAGCAGCAGAGCATGCATTGTGGGACTGGCACTGGAGAATTGGGACACTTGGAGAACATGCACTTCTTCAAGATTAGTGTTCATTCTTGTTGCATTTTAGAATGGTATCATTATGAAATTTCAAACAGTAAGCAGTTTGATGCATTCCATTATAGATAAACCAAGAAAATGTTGTTAAGTAAGCAAGGAACCCAGTTTCAATCCTGCTTGCGCTTCCTTACAGGTCGGAGAGCATGTTTAGGTGAGAATCTTGCCAAAATGGAGCTCTTCCTCTTCTTTACAAGCCTCCTGCAGAGATTCACATTCCAGCTACCTCCTGGAACATCTGAAGATGACCTGGATTTGACCCCTGCTGTTGGGTTCACAACACCTCCCATGCCCCACCAACTCTGTGCTCTGCCACGTTCATAAGACGCAAAGTTCATGGGTTGCTTATCCTCCCTGTGTGTGCAACGCAAACCGCTTTTTAAACACCCTTATTAACCATGGACATTTTGGTTCAGTAGACTTCCAGTAGGATTGGCCTATGCTGTGTCACAAAACTTAAGTGTTGCACACTATGTTCTGCTTAATGTTTGTAGTAAATACGATTCCGTGTTAATTGTAGTGCTTTAGTTCAGCCTAGGAATTAAATTTTGAAATTTACTTGATTCTGTTCAGAAAAAAATTACCTACTAACATTGAAATCTATATATTTTGTGTCAAGCCACTTCATTCCTTGTGTATTTTATTGTGTCATCATGTGGTTCTAAGTGAAGGGCACTTTTAAAAACAAAGATTTAAGTGATGGATGGTCAAAAGGGAGTAGTCAAATGCAGGTGTTTCTCCCCACTCTGATCAAGAGGCTCAGATTTTAACTGAGGGCCGCAGGTATAGCAAGTCTACAGGTAAAAAAAATAGATTAAGTCTTTCCATGTGAAAAGGTAAAGGGACCCCTGACAGTTAAGTCCAATGATAAATTCCACTGGTTTTTTTAAAATTTGCATCAGGAATCTGATTAAGAACATTGTCCCCAGATTTATCTATATTATATATCCTATATTCTATATTCTATGCATCTATATCCAGATCATATTTCCAAAAGATAAACTCCCTGTTTAGGAAATGTCTTTGGGTCTTTGGATGATTTTACATAAATACAAAGCACCTTTGGGAGGTTGGGCAGCATTAGGATCAAGATATTTGAAAGTTCAAACAACTCTTGAAACAGTTAAGTCTGTTAGAAAGATATGGAATATATTAGCCAATAAAAATAAATTTCATTCACTTTCAGATGCAAAACTTACTCTGTGGAGAAATTCTATTTTAAAAATTGGGGGCGGGGGTATTATGGGAAAACTGAATGGGAGAAATCACTGTTTTAACTGAGGGCCGCAGAAATAGCAAGTCTACAGGTAAAAAAATAGATTAAGTCTTTCCATGTGAAAAGACATGATGTGTCACAAAACTTAAGTGTTGCACACTTATGTTCTGCTTAATGTTTGTAGTAAATACGAGTCCGTGTTAATTGTAGTGCATTAGTTCAGCCTAGGAATTAAATTTTGAAATTTACTTGATTCTGTTCAGAAAAAAAAATTCCTACTATAATCTGTATTTCGGTAATATATATAATCTACATATAATCTGTATATTTTGTGTCAAGCCACTTCATTCCTTGTGAATTTTACTGCTTCATCATGTGGTTCTAAGTGAAGGGCACTTTAAAAACAAAGATTTAAGCAATGGATGGTCAAAAGGGAGTAGTCAAATGCAGGTGTTTCTCCCCACTCTGATCAAGAGACTCAGATTTTAACTGAGGGTCACAGGTATAGCAAGTCTACAGGTAACAAAATAGATTAAGTCTTTCCATGTGAAAAGAGCAATGATAAATTCCACTGGTTTTTAAAATTTACATCAGGAATTTGATTAAAAACATTAAAAACTTTCTGTGTAAAAATCCTGTTTTAAAAATTTGGGTGGGTATGGAAAAACTGGGTGGGAGATGCTGTGATCACTAGGCCTGCCCTATTTTGCTTTCTTTGACTAAAGAGTTAACTTCCCGGCACTGGTGGTGTTTTTATTGCTGACCTACTCCTGCCTCCAGCTCCTGCCAGCTTATGAGGACTGAAGGTCTCCACCTTCCCACTGCCCTCTAAGGCTCCTCCCCCAGCAGCCTACAGCTCCATCACCTTGCATCTCATGACTTTGCCGTCATCATTTCTCTCCATGTTCTGGGTGACCAGGGTGAAGGGAGCTGGTCGCAGCAGGAGGGGGAGACTCCCCGGATGAGGCAGGCCTCATCATCTCTGTCTCCTGGCCCCTTCCTCTCCTGTCTGAACTGCTCTCTGCCCCAGCTTCTTCCCACTCACGAAACCCTGTTACCTCTTCAGCTTCCAACACCTCCTCCTCCCAGTCAGCTCCCTGTTCTCCCACTGACCACTCATCCCACCACCAGTGCCCTGACTCTGAACTTTCTCCCCCTGGGGGTTTCCAGCTGCTGCCTCCCATCTCAGCCAGTCCATGATACCTACCCACTTTGAACTTTTTATTTATTTACAGCCAAGTGATGTGTAAATGTTATGAAATAAATAAATAGGGCTCGGGTCCATCTAGCAGTCTCTTGTCATATCTCTCCTGACATTGCGATGTTGTGCGCTCATGATGTCACATCTTGGGCGCAAGTTGGTGCCTCTGCTTCGGGCATAGAGATCAACTGACAAAACTGGTTTCTTGTATTCACATGTTAACAAATGCCTTCAAATTGTCGCGAATTCTTCGCGGTGCTTTAGCAGAATGCTCAGAGTCCCAGGTTCTTCAGTGCAGTATTATTTATTGTGAGCTAATATATACAAATATCTACAGAAGCAGTGCATACAATCAGACAGAGTACCTGGTAGCACCTTAAAGCAAATATGAAGACTCTTTCTCTCTGACTACACTCCTCTACACCACCACCATGACCTCTGGACATGTTTTCCTTTTAAACCGATGACAGCACATTACTGCTTAGTCATTCTGACCCAGTAACTCTATAGAAAGTATTGCATCAGCCTGTTGCATCAACTAGCAAACTCAAGCCTGCAGACTTCCTTTCACAGCATTCTGTGAATCCCGACAAAATATCTCGAAGCATCATATTCCCAGTTAAATGTCCAAATATGAGCTAGTGATAATGGTTTCGCTTGGGAAATACAACAACTGTACAAGCTGCGGAGACCTAAAAATAGTTTTTTATACAAGCAACTTATCTGTGAAGCCCCCTCATGCGGAGAGAGTGGGCTCTTCAAATCCAGGGTTTGCACTCCCCTACCAATTCCTGTCAGTGAGGAATCCACGTCTGCCCACATCTGAAACAGTCCCCTCAAGTGTAGCATGTTGTTCCTCACCTTAAAAGGCAGATACAAACATTTACTCTAATTTGAGAATGTAGCAATCTTCACATATTGCATTCAACAAATGTTCAATCTGCATACACAAGTAGCTAAGTTGTACACTCATACAATTATTCACAGTTATTCACTTTAAGAAGGCTGATTTCAAAAAGCTGAAGGAACTACTGGGTGAGATCCTATGGTCAGAAACACTCAATAAGATGGCCCAAATGCTGAAATTTCTACTGAAGTATTGCTCACTGGACTCTTAAGATATATATTCCTCCCTGGGCCCACTAGAATTTCAGTGGTACCTCGGGCTACGAATGCTTCGAGTTACGTTTTGTCGGGTCACAAATAATTTTAACCCAGACATGAGTATTCTGACCTCTCGGAGGCCTCGCCGCTGCCAAGTCCCAACATCCGTGGGGCCTACGGACGCTCCACAATTGGCCTCCAGCCGTGTGAGCTCTCCGAGGCCTCCGCAAAGACCAGGAGCCAAGCCAATTGTGATTGTGGAAGAGGACCCTGAGCCCCCATCCAAACAATTACTCATCAGCGCAGGTAAGAAAAAAAATCACATTTTCATTTTGTACAGTTTTATTGACTTCAATTTTTGGTCAATGGCCTCGTTAGATAGTAAAATTTATGTAAAATTGCTGTTTTAGTCTGTGTGACTGCAGAAATGGATAAAAGCCCCCCATTGAAACTGACTATCATCCGTTAATTTTATTCATCTAAAATACTGTCTTATTTATTTTATAGTGCAGTACATTGATTATTGCCTTCATTTTATGGATCAATGGTCTCGTTAGACAGTAAAATTCATGTTAAATTGCTGTTTTAGGGGGTGTTTTTCATCATCTGAAATGGATCAATCCACTTTCCATAACTTTCAATGGGAAAGTGCGCTTCAAGTTAAGAACGCTTCAGGTTAAGAACGGACTTCCAGAACCAATTAAGTACTTAACCTGAGGTGCCACTGCAGGTACCACTGTACCTGCTCTGATACCGTGGTAACCGCCTGTCAACACCTGAGCCTCCTGCCACCAGATGCAGAACAGCATGTGCTTAAAATGGCTGTAATCTGCCCAGGGACCTTATGGATCAAGAGCAACTATAAACAAAAGACATCATCATCAGCTAAACCACAATGTTGCACAAGCCAAGAGGAAGTATATCACACAAGTTTGTCTATGGAGCAAATAGTTCCAGAGATGACTGACAGAAGAGGGCCACGCTGCATAGTGCAGAAAATTGCACACACACACACCCCAAAATATTTGTGCAGTATTTCCCCAAGAACATCTCCCTATGTTGCTGGCACCGGTATATTAATTAACTAAACTAGCTACACACACATGCCGCATAGCAGAATATTTGTAAAGAACGAGTTCCGCAGGTTCTGAGACTATCTCAAAAATTTCTCACTAGTTTAATAATTACACAAGAGGATTTCTTAACAGTTATTTGGGTTCCTTCCAACTCTCCCGTTCTGTGATTCTATAATGTTGTTTTAAGCCTGAACATTGGACCTCCCAAGTATTCAAAAGAGGTTGAATGTGCTGGACGATTTCATTTCAGGAAGAAAACACCGCTGCTCAAGTAAGTATAAAGGGAATGCTGAGTCATCAAGCGTAGCTTGCAATAAAATCTGGGGAAAGTTCATTCCATTGACAGTGTCTAGTATTTGCTGCTCATTTCAGCAAGCAGACATTGTCCGGGATCAAACGATGTTGTGACTTTCACAGTAATCGCTTCAGAATTTGCTCGCTGAAAAGAAATGGATTGGACTGAACAGATTCCAGCATTATTCCTGCTTATTCTTACGATTATAATCATTTGGAAATGGGGCAGTTTCTGGAACAGGAGCTCCAAAAATCTCCCACCAGGTCCTACACCTTTATCACTTGTTGGGAATCTCCACATGATGGATCTGAAGAGACCTTACAGAACAATGTTAAAGGTAACGTTTTCTGTTCTTTCTGCAGCAAGGCAAAGATTCTGTGGACGTTTTGGGGCCAGGTAGATGTCAGTGTTCCATCTCATAAATGCATATATGCAAAAATGATAAAACTATGTCAAGTATGGCTTATTCGTTTTTTCTGTCCTTTTTGTGTGTGATTGCTGTTATGGTTTAGGCTGATAGCTGATCTGTGCAGTGGAGGGACTGGGTCACTGGAGGAGGGGAATAGGAATGCCACAACCAGCCTGGGATATGGGTGACGCTGTGGTCTAAACCACAGAGCCTAGGGCTTGCCGATTAGAAGATCAGCAGTTCAAATCCCCATGACAGGGTGAGCTCCCGTTGCTCAGTCCCTGCTCCTGCCAACCTAGCAGTTCAAAAGCACGTTAAAGTGCAAGTAGATAAATAGGTAACGCTCCGCAGGGACGGTAAACGGCGTTTCCATGCGCTGCTCTGGTTCACCAGAAGCGGCTTAGTCATGCTGGCCACATGACCCGGAAAACTGTCTGCAGACAAACGCCAGCTCCCTCGGCCTGAAAGCACAATGAGCACCGCAAGCCCAGAGTCGTCCATAACTGGACTTAACAGTCAGGGATCCCTTTACCTTTACCTTAACCAGCCTTATCCGCAAAAATTAGCTGCAAAATTATCGAACTTTTCAGTGTGAAGCCAGCACTTCTAAATACATCATTTTAGAATCCACTCAAGTTTTCACAATTATCTTACGTGAAACAAAACAAAGCAATTATATTGCTGAATGTGGGCTTTAAGTGTGCCCATGTCTGAAATTATGTTCTTATTGAGAATGTTCATCTGCACTGGAAGCAATCGCTGTTAAAAAAAACAACAACATCAAAGAGAACTGGATAACGTATAACACAAAATTAAGGGAAGAGGTGGGTCAACTACCGTATTTTTCGCTCCATAGGATGCACCTGACCAAAAGACGCACCAAGTTTTTAGAGCAGGAAAACAAGAAGAAGAAAAATCTGACTCAAATGTTGTATTAAACTATTTCAAACAGCAAACTGGGTGGCTCCTGTCCGCTTTGCTGCTTTAAAGCGAGCCACAGTATACAATGAAGAGAATGGGAAAAGGACAGACGTGGTGGTAGTATGGTTGCATTGTTTTTTTTGTAACATAAAATCATTCAATAAAAATTATTTTTTTGAAAAAGAGAATGTTCATCTCTTTGTAACACCCACAATTTCCATGATTCTTTGGGCAGGTGTAAAAAAATTTATTAGATTAAATCTAGGTCTCCAGAGTAATTTTAGCTAAAGGCAATATTGGAAAGCACTGGCACTCCTCGGGTGAAACATAGGAGCCTAATTATGAGCAGCCACAACTGATAGCTCAGTTGGTTGAGCATGAGACTTTTAATCACAGGGTCGTGGGTTCGATCCCATGTTAGGCAAAAAGATTCCTACATTTCAAGGGGTTGGACTAGATGATCCTTGTGGTCCCTTCCAACTCTACAATTCTATGATTCTAACTTTCAATTTCTTAAGGAAGGAAAATTCACATCAGTTTTCAACATTGTTTGCTCACAATTATCTCCAGATAAAATAAAAGGCCTGCAGAATTTGCCATCCTACTGCACTTTCTTCTTAATAATTTGAGGTTACTCCTCTTGCTAAAGGCACCCACGTGATGAACAGTGCTTAGACATTTAAAGTTGATGAATTATACCATGCAACTATGTAAATGAAATCAGTTTTTATTTCAGATCTGTGACAGTATGTCTGTATGTTTGGGGGGTTTATTTGATGTTTCTCTCTTTTGGTCATTGAACTCCAGTTGTCAAAAGAACATGGCCCCATCTTCCGCATCCAAATGGGATTCCAGAAAATGGTGGTGCTGACAGGGTATGAGACAGTCAAGGAGGCTCTGGTGAATCAGGCGGACGCATTTGCAGAGAGACCCACCATCCCAATTTTTGAGGACCTTGCAAGAGGCTTTGGTGAGGTCTTTCCTTCTGTATAATAGCTTGTGCTGTTTGTGAAATTTAGTTATCATAGCAATATAGAATCTGTGCCAAAAGGTTCATAGAACTGATTCTTAGTTTCAATTATAGCTTGGAGGACAGCCTGCCAATCGACCAGTGTAGCTGCAGCCATTGGATGGATAATGCCAAATGTCTTTGTCATTGCCAGCAAAAGAGTAGGGTTGAGGGAATGGGAGAATCTGGTCATAAAATAATGTACCGTTACAACTGAAGGGCCGTAAACTAGAGAACCCCCTCTCCAATCGTGTTCTGAGGGTACAACCCATAGGGATATTGCTGAAGTACTGCAGCGTGTGTGTCTTATCAGAGACCGGAAGAGGGACCAGCTGAGAGGCATCCTCAGTTCCACAGAAGAAGGGTGAGATAAGCCAAAACATATTATTGTGGCCATGATAACTTGAAACTTGATCTCTGCTCTTCAGGTGTTCTTTTTTCACATGGTGAAAACTGGAAAGTGATGAGGCGGTTTGCACTAAGCACATTACGGGACTATGGCATGGGGAAAAGGTCCATAGAGGACAGAATCGTGGAAGAATGCAGTGTCCTGATTAAGACATTTGAATCTTACCAAGGTGGGTTAGTGTTTCCCTCTACAGCTCCAGGGCAAAACTGTTGGGATACTGCCAGGGAGATAAAGTCCATCAAGGCCCCCAAGCCGTCTGCCGGACGATCCATCGACCTCCCGTAGTCACGCAGTATCAACAATTAGCGACATGAGTTTCTAGAAGATTTCTTGCCACATTCCAGAGCTCATGCACACTCTTATCAGCAGATAATGCACAGCCAAAAGTTGCAATCAGGAGAGCATTATTTACAAGTTTATTCAGCGTTGATCAGAACACAGAAAAACATGACTGACTGCTTTAGTGTCTGCGACACAGAGAGAAAACGAAAGCAACAGAAAACATAAACATCCTGTGAACAGGAAATACGCAGACTCTGACTCACAAAGCCTGCTCCCTTTTAAGGTGGAACGGAAATATCCTAACATCCTCCCCTTTCCGTGTAACCTGTAGTACCTGTGGTTCAACCCAATTGCAACCTTTGTACGTAAACCTTAAGTTGTTCTCTGTTAACAACCTTAGACAACAGATCAGCAGGAATTTCATTTCCTGGCATGTAGGACACCTGAATGAGTCCTTTCTGAATACACTCCCTTGCACGATGTAGCTTAATCTGCAAGTACTTGGTCCTTTGCTTGCAACTCTCCGAGTTCAGCAAAGCCAAACACGATCTATTGTCTTGATACACTTGTACAGGACATTTCACAGAAACTCTGATGTCCTTAAACAGTTGCATCAACCATTCACAATCCATGAGTGAAAATGACAGAGCATTGAGTTCTGCTTCACAGGAACTTAGGCTCACTGTCGTCTGCTTTTTGCACAACCAGTCAAACAGGCAGTGGTTGTACATGTAGCATACTCCAGAAGTGCTTGTACCATCCGTGGTGTCACTTCCAAAACTTGCATCTGCAAAGATTTCAAGACCTCCAGTCTTCTGACTGGTGAACCTCAGCCTGTAGTGCAAAGTCCCTTTCAAATAGCGGGCTATGCGCTTCAGAGCTTTCCAATCCTGAACAGTAGGATTGTTGGCATGTCTGCTAAGCAGGTTACAGCTTACAGCTATGTCAGGTCTTGAGCATCTAGCAATGAAATTCAACTTGCCTAGAATGCATCTGTACAGCGTTGTGTCAGAAAACGCTTCAGCAGTACTATCTACCTGGTAACCTGTCACCATCGGTGTGTCTGCTGGGTTTGCATCAACCAAATTCAACCTGGTTAATACATCAGCAATTTTCTGTGTTTGGTGTACCAGAAAATTACCTGCTTGGTCCCTCTCCACCTGCAGAGAAAGATAGTTGGATACCTCACCAAGATCCTTCATGTCAAAGTGCTCCTTCAGCTGAGCTAGGGTGCTTTGGTACAAAGCCTGATTCTTCCAAAACATCAGAAGATCATCAACAAAACATAAACAATACAGTTTGTTTTGCCCCTCCTCCTTGACAAACACACATGGATCAGCTTTGCCCTGGTGAAAACCTAGAGAAAGCAACGTCTCAGTGAGTTTTGTGTTCCAACACCTGGCACTCTGCTTGAGACCATATAAGGATTTCCGCAGTTTACAGACCATTCCCTTCTGTATCTGCATCCCATCAGGTGGAAGCATAAACAGCTCCTCCCCCAAAATCCCGTACAAAAAGCTGTATTAATGTCATGATGGGAAACATGCAGTTTCTCCTCTGCAGCTATCTTGAGCATCAGCCGAATGCTCTCATATTTGACGGTGGGTGAGTAGGTCTCGTGGTAATCCTGTCCTGGTACCTGTGAAAAACCTCTGGCAACCAATCTGGCTTTGTGTCTGACAACCTTGCCATTCTGGTCTGTCTTGGCCTTGAAGACCCATTTGCTGCCAACCAGTCTCATTCCTGGGACTACCGGTACCAATTCCCAAGTTTGGTTCCTATTCAAGGAATCAACTTCAGCCTTCATGGCATTAAGCCAAGGCTCAGCATCTTTAGAGGTTAACTCCTGAACCTCTTTGAAGCTTGAAGGTTCCCACACCTTCTCTGAGCTACTAAGAACAGCAGTTGCTGTCTTAGCAAACTCATCAGCAAATCTCTTTGGAGGTCTGCCCTTCGTGGCTCTCTCAGATCTGCGTACTAGACGCAAGTCTTCTGGACTCATCTCCTCCTTCTTAGGAGAAAAGTGACCAATGGTGAACAGTGGTTCTTCCAGTTCATTGTCAGACGCATCAGATGGTCTGACTGAGGCCTTTGCGCTCTTGTAGTCTGCTGTGTCATCACTGTCACTGACACCAGCAGCAGCGCCGCCCACTGAACTGGAATCCGAACTCTGATCATCATCGTCATCATCATCCTCAGCAGCTTCCTCAGCTTTAGCTGCTTCTTTGACATCACCTTCATCCTCCTCTGGGTAACTCTGGAAAATTCCCACATTTTCCCCCCACTTAGGATTGTACTCAACACTCTTTGTGAACTTAATGGACTTAGAGTTGGTCATCCACACCCTGTATGCACCTTTTCGTACCCCATGAACAAACCATGTGCCCCACGCTTCCCAAGCTTGTTGCTCTGTGGGGTGTGTACCCACATGTCAGAACCAAAGATTCTCATGTGCTTGATGTTGGGTTTCTTACCAAACATCTTCTCATAGGGGTACAACCAATAGGTGATGACAATCTGCGATTATAAGTGTAAGCAAAATTCGACAGAGCCTCCCCCCAATACTTATCAGGGAGATTGGCATCATGCAACAATGTTTTCATTCCTTGCAGCAACGTTTGATTTGCTCGCTCCGCAAGCCCATTCATCCATGGCGATCTAGGCGTTGACAAGTCATGCTGGATTCCCTTCTCAGTCAGGAAAGCTTCAAACTGCTGAGAAGTGAACTCCCGCCTCGATCAGTAAACAGACAGCCAATACGTTTACCGTGAACATTCTCCAACCAAGCACAGAATGCCTTGAACTTAGGAAACGCTTGCGATTTCTGCTCGAGCATAAACACATGAATGTACCTGGAAAAAGAATCAATTAGAACCATGAAGTACCTTGCTCCACCCAAAGAGGGCGCAAGTGGACCAACCAGGTCTGCGTGCACTAGCTGGTAGGGTTTGGAAGCCTGCCTGCTAGACTCCTTGCCTTTTGGAGCAACCTTCACCTTGTTCTCTGCACAAGATACACATTTCATGTGAAACTTACAGGGTTTGATGTTCAAACCCTCAACCATCTCTGGCATCTTGGCCAGTGCCTTCCAAGAGAGGTGGCAAAACCTCCGATGTGCATCGTGAATGCATCCTGCATGAAGAACTTTGTTAGTTTGTGCAACACAACAAGAATCAACATTAGACACAACAGCACCAATGTCATCATAAGTTATACAGAACAAGCCATCCATAAACTTTGCATGCAAAATGTCCTCTTTGCCTTTTCTGATGACACAGACGCTCCTCTTGAAGGAAATCTCAAAACCACGCCCAGTAAGCTGTGGGACACTGAGCAAATTGTCTGCAGTGCCTGGAACATACAGTACATCTTTGATGGTCGTGTGCAGACTTGCCAGTTTCACAGTCCCTTCTCCTGCAATTCGCAACGTCTTTCCATCAGCCAGGTGGATCTCACCTTCTTGAGGTTTGAAGGAGATAAACAGGTGGCGGTCTTTTGAGACATGGCGGGTACAGCCTGAATCAACAACAAACCTGGCCTTGGCCTTTGGAGCAGCCTTTGCTAGCAAGCAAAACCTTGTTTTCCAACGGCGTGGGCTTTTGCAGCTTGCCCCCCTGCTCCTGGCCATCAGACTTGCCTTTAGCCTTTGGTGAGGCTGTGCCAGCAAACAAAGCATTGTTTTTCCCTGGCTTGGGCTTTCCACCCCCCCTCTGCTTCTTGCCATCTGCTGGCTTCTTCCTTTGTTTATTTCCAGTCTTTGGACAAAACTTCTGAGTGTGACCTTGGGTCCCACAGTTCCAGCACTTCACAGCTGCCAACGCTTTGGCTCCCCTGGAGGCTGGAATGCTGTCCCACATTGCTCCCCCTGGAGCGCACAAGCCGACTCAGCTGCATTCCTTCTATCGTATTCATTTTGCAAAGTCGCCAAGACCTTTGTAGCAGTGAGGTCTTGCGCAGGGAGGGTCGCCAGCTGACTTGCCACGGCATGGTAGCTTTCATCCAGGGAGTCCAGGATGAGAATTGCAAACAGTGACTCAGGCATATTGAAACCTCTCTGAGTCAATTCCTGTCTGAGATGCTGCAAATGTAAAACGTGGGCTCTAAGGTCTTCCCCTGGCTCCAAACGCTTCCTGTGCAGCTTTCTGAAATAAAGCAACACAGACCCAGCCTCTTGTCGGAGATGACAGGCTCTAAGCCCGTCCCACATCTCACGGGCACTGGCCTTGCCAGCCAGGGTGATTAACTCTTCAGGAGCTACTGAGAGCAAAATTATCCCCATGGCTCTTGAGTCCTGTGCCGTCCATTCATCTGTCACAGGGGCTGGGGGGTCCTCAGAAACGGTATTCCACACTCCAAGCTTTCTCATCTGGCCCTCACAGTACCTTGCCCAGGTCTGATAGTTGTGGCCATTTAGCTTTGGTGGAGACGGAGCAGCTTCTGAGGATTGTAAAAGATCCATCTCAGCCTTTTACTTGAGCCGTGAGTCTTATTCACTTCAAAGACCCCTTATCTCAGCAGCCCATTACTCACGAATGCTCTGGCGCAGCTCCCAGATCCATTAATCTGCCGGAGTTCAAAGGCCCTTGCCTCGGCAAACAGAAAAGCCTCACTTTCGCTTTTCTTCCACATACCTTTCAGCAGTCTGCCGCAGTCTTACTCTCCTGTAAGTGCTGTGAATCTGGGCCCATAACCTGTTGTTGGGATACTGCCAGGGAGATAAAGTCCATCAAGGCCCCCAAGCCGTCTGCCGGACGATCCATCGACCTCCCGTAGTCACGCAGTATCAACAATTAGCGACATGAGTTTCTAGAAGATTTCTTGCCACATTCCAGAGCTCATGCACACTCTTATCAGCAGATAATGCACAGCCAAAAGTTGCAATCAGGAGAGCATTATTTACAAGTTTATTCAGCGTTGATCAGAACACAGAAAAACATGACTGACTGCTTTAGTGTCTGCGACACCAGAGAGAAAACGAAAGCAACAGAAAACATAAACATCCTGTGAACAGGAAATATGCAGACTCTGACTCACAAAGCCTGCTCCCTTTTAAGGTGGAACGGAAATATGCTAACATCAACAACACTACATTAGATGCCCAGAATCATGTGTTATATACATATTGCTAACTCTCAGAACTATAGTAACCAGGATTCCCTGTGAAGAAGTTACCAATCTGCAGTGTTCAGGTCAGTATGAGGTAATGCTGGCCTCTGTCCCTCTTTCCTGTCCTCCCTCCTACGATCCCCTCTTGCATCTCTGCCTCCCAAAGGCTTGCACAGCTGTTTGTTGCAGCAGCCCTGGCTTCAAGCTCCCAAGGAGAGAGGAAAGGAGAGGTGGCTGAGGGAACACTTCATGAGGGAGGGTGTTTGAAAAAGGGTGAGAGACCACTGGCTCTGCAGGCAAGGGGTGACATACCGGTAACTGGCTCCTGAGGCTTGGAGTGCATTTGCCCCACAGGAAAACCACAGAAATGATGTAGCTGGTCAAGGGAGTCATGGACTCAAAAGGATGAAGACCTCTGGTTAGATATATACTGCCCATGACTCTTTTTAGCGTTTCTTAACTCAGATATCTTCAAGTACACCAGAACGTAGGATCAGTTTCTAAGATAAATGTGCTCTATATATCGGTAGGCTGACACTGGGAACCTAAGGCAGAGAAGAGCAATTCTACTTGGTATTTTATCTGAGCATTGCTTAATATTTATGTATAGGACAACCATTTGAAACCAGCACAATTATGAATGCCGCTGTTGCCAATATCATAGTGTCCATCCTACTAAACAAGCGATTTGAATACGAAGACTCCACATTTAGAAAACTTCTGAAGTTGGTCAATGAAAGTATCCGGCTTTTTGGAAGCCCCTCTGTCATGGTAATCTAAGCTTTCTCAGATGGAAAAGAAATAGTTGGTTGTATTCACAGAATACTCAATGTGTGTGCAATTCCATATTGTTCGGGCTTCACTACAAAACACATCTTGAGAAATATGAGTTGCGTAAGATCCCAGGACAGCATTTCCTTCCAAAGGTCCTCACTCAGTTGTCTTTGTGCAGCTTTTAGGAGGGGAGAGGTATTGCATATTTGCAAGGAAAAGTATTAGTAGAAAGGATTTGCAATCTTCAGGTATTAAGGAAAGCAGAGAAATTAATACTCACCTTCCAAAGTAAAGGTATATTGGCCAAATAATACAAATAATTATTCGGTTTAGATCAATCATCCTTCAGTTTTGAGCAGAAGTGACAAAGAGACATTAATTCTCCAGTTACTAAAGATGAATGGATGAGTGGTTATAATTTTCAAAGAGACAATTGTTGGAAATTCAAAAATATAGGAGCAGCTATTTTACACATATATTTTGGACTTCTTGTAAGATTAAAAGCTTTTGGTTATAAATTAAATTCTTGGTACCAATATGATTTTAATACCCAAATACATTTGATTTGGAAAGGCATAGCAAGCAAGGGAGATTTTGGACATTGCAACTGTTATAACCACTACAGCAAGACTAGTCAAAGCTAAATATATGTATAAATGTATAAAACACATGGGATGCAGCATTGTTAACACAACTTAAAAGTTTTAAAAGAGATATTGAAAGAAGGACCCCAAATAAATTTATTTTTAAAAAGCAACTATAAAATTTCAAGACAATATTCACACCAATTATTATTTTCATTCATATAATTGGATATTCTGCTTAAAATATAATAGTTAGATAACTCAAACATAACTGACGTTTTGTATATTGTATGCATGATCATATGAAATTATATATAGTTGAAATATTTTATTTCTTTTGTAATTTCATCTTTTTTAAAAAATAAAGGTGGTTTTTTTAATATACACGACCCCATATCTATCTGTTGGGGACTCCACTTCTACATCCTTCTATTGGGAGAATGTCTGTCTATTCCTATGCCCCACTTCCTGACCCACTAGAGGACCTCTCCTCCTTATTCCAACGCCTGCTTTTCTTAACCAGGAGTCTTTGTTGTGCAAGCTTTTTTGAAAGTCTAAGTCGGATGTGGGGAACCTTTAACCCTGGCTAATGCACAGGGATAATACAAGCAACGTTGAGGTAGAGCTAAAAATGCCCCACCGCCAGCCCAAGACAGATGCTGACATGAGCCGAGGTGAAGCAATTTGCCTCAGGTGGCAGATCCAACCGCTTCCCTGTCCCTGCTGTTGCACCATTGCCAGCCACGTCTCAGTTTTGCCCATGCCACCATGGCTGCTGCCACAGTGCCCTGTTTTGTGGCAGCACTGTGAGTGACACCATGGGTCTGTGGGGGGACAGTGCCAGGGAGGAATTTTGCTGCCCCTGGCTACTTCTGGTTGACCTCTGTCTAGGGGCTTGTCCACATCTCAGCAAACTGCTAATACACAAGTACAAGGGGGCTCCATAACTACAACAGCACGTAAGAAAATGGCCCTCCAGCCTTGGCCTCTAAGGGAGATTGACTCAACGTTGCTCCAACCCAAATACATTATTGTTCTGTGTCATTGTTTATTCCTCTGTGGAAGATGAGATATTTGGAGTACCACCTGAGAATTAAGCACTGGGCTTTACTCTTCGTTGTATTTTATCCTTACAGCTGTATAACGTATTTCCTGCTCTTGGCTCGCTTTTGGGAGCCCGTAAGACTATCCTTCAGAACAGAGATGAGATGGATGCCTTCATAAATGCCACCTTCATACAACACCTCAGAGATCTGGATAAAAATGACCAAAGGAGCTTGATTGATTCATTCCTTCTGAGACAGCAAGAGGTAATGGAGTCTTTTAAGCCCACGTCTTTTAAGTTTCTTTTCTTTAAGAAAAAGAAAAAAAACAACCTTTGAGATACGGTAGCTCAGTTGGTTGGAACACGTTGCTGCGTACGCCAAGGTTGCAGATTTGATCCCTGTAAGGGACAGCTGCAGTCCTACACTGCAGATGTTTGGAACAGATGATCCTCAGGTCCTTCCAACTCTATGATTCCATGATTCCATGACTAGTCCAACACGTCATGCTCCCCCCCCCCGTATTTCTTTTGCACCATGCTCCTTTCTTCAGCCTGTGACATGCTTTCTTTCTTTCTTTTAAAATATTTTTATTAATTTTAATGTACAAAATTGTTTAAAGACATACCACACAAATTCTTACATACATATTCTTATTTGGACTTCCTTCAACACCTCCGTCCTAATCACTTCTCCTGCAATTCTTGACTTAATATTGCCTTTACCTTTCTTAACAAATCATCTCCCCCTTTCCATTTTTACAATATTTCTTAAATTACTCCTCACAGAACTGCTTGTAAACCTACAAACGTAATTTGATCATCACAAATATTTTTTCAAATACTCCATAAATTTAGTCCAGTCTTCGGTGAACCTCTGGTCCTGCCGGTTTCAGATCCTTCCTGTTAGCTTGTCTAATTCTGTGTAGTCCATTAGTTTCATCCTCCATTCTTCTAACGTTGGTAGTTCTTCTTGTTTCCATTTTTGGGCCAGTAATATTCTTGCTGCTGTTACCGCATATAAAAAAAGCTTACAGTCTTTTCTATTTATATCATTTCCAACAATACCCAAAATAAATGCTTCTGGCTTCTTTATAAAAGTATATTTCATCATTTTTTCAACTCGTTATATATCATCTCCCAAAAGCATTTCACTTTTTTACATTCCCACCACATATGGTAAAATGATCCTTCTTTTTCTTTACATTTCCAACATTTATTACTCACTTTATACATTTTTGCTAACTTAACTGGTGTGATATACCATTTATACACCATCTTCATCACATTTTCTTTTAATGCATTACATGTGGTAAATCTCAAACCTTCTTTCCACAGTTTTATCCAATCACTTAACTGTATGTTATATCCAAAATCTTTTGCCCAATGAATCATAACTGATTTTACCTCCTCATCTTTCAAGTGCCATTCAAGCAGTAATTCATACATTTCAGACAAAATTTTAAAATCATTATTCAACATTTCTTGTTGAAACTTCGATTCTTTTCCAGAGAAACCTTTTTCTTTAACATCCTGTTTAAATATTTCATTCACCTGGTAATAATGTAACCAATCGTTAACATACTCTTTCACCTCCTCGTATGGTTTCAATTTCCATTTTCCTCCTTCTCTAATTATTAGTTTCCCATATGTTATCCACTTCCCACTCATATTGACCTTTTTTACACACATCACTTCTAATGGAGACAACCAATGTGGTATTTTTGGTTCCAGAAGGCTTTTATACCTATCCCAAATTCCTATAAGAGATCTTCAAAATATGTGGTTTCCAAATCCTTTATGGACTTTTTTCTTATCATACCATAAATATGTATGCCATCCAAATCTATTATCATAACCTTCTAAGTCCAGCAATTCTGTATTTTCCAATTTCATCCATTCCTTCAACCAACAGAGGCACAATGCTTCATAATATAATTTCAAGTCCGGCAGGGCAAAGCCTCCTCTTTCCTTAGCATCTGTTAGTAACTTAAATTGTATTCTCGGCTTTTGCCCTGTCAGATATATCTTGAAATTATCTTCTGCCACTCTTTAAATATTGCTGCCCCTTTTATTATTGGAATTGTCTGAAACAAGAACAACATCTTTGGTAGCACATTCATCTTTATCGCTGAAATCCTTCCCCAAAATGATAATTTCAACCTTCCCCATACCTCTAGAGCTCTTTTGACACTATTCCACATTGGTGTATAATTATTTTGATACAGATCAATATTTTTGGGAGTTAACCAAATTCCTAAATATTTAACTTTCTTTACCACTTCTATACCTATCTGTTGCTGCAACGTTTCAACCAATTCCTGTTCCATATTTTTAGCAATCATCTTAGTTTTCCTTTTGTTTAATTTAAAACCTGCCACTTGACCGAACTGTTCTATCTCCTCTATTACTTCCTTAATAGTTATTGATGGATTTTCAATTGTTAATACCAAGTCATCAGCAAAGGCTTTTACCTTATATTCATT